TAAGTATAAATTGTTATTGTGCATTATCCTAGCTATGGATATAATTCATGGTAATAGGAGATACTCCAAGAAGTGCTGGATCTCCCTGAACACAGGACCATTTCTTAAAATGTTAGTATATTCACAAAGTGAATTGATTCAGAAGAGTAGAATTAGCCATAATTGTGGCTCAGAGATACAACAATAAAACTTTCATTCAATATATTGTTACATATTACTTAATCAAGCAACCTATTGATACCGACTGACCATTTTTGCAATGCAAAGTCTTCTTTACTTCCTGTTTACTCCACTACACCAGGAGTTTCACCTCTTAATTTTTGCTTCTTATACGATTCTATTGTACTTCTATATAGTGCTTCTGCACTCCACTTTCTCCTATCACTGACGATTTACAACAACAATGCACACAATACATTCCCAGTAACTTCCTTTTAATAGGAAGTAGTCTCCATATAAACAAATCTGCTGTTAGCAAAACTGGTCAAGGAGTACTCTATTTTTTAAATAGATTATTTACCATAGGAATGTTTCATGTGAAGATATTGGAGAGGTGGTGAAGGAGCATGGACCTAAAATCTAGTCCTGGATTTTAAATATTCCACGTAATGTATTTAGGATTTTAATATTGCTCTTTTGCTACATTATCTACAACAACAACAAGATTACATTTGTATAGCGCCTTTCACGTCAGGAGGACGTCCCAAGGTGCTGGACAGACCTGAGCTGGGGTCGGGGAGGGGAAGAGGAATGGCCGATGGCATGGTCAAAGAGGAGGGTCTTGAGGCGGGACTTGAAGGAGGCTAAGGAGGGGCGAGGCGGAGTGACTGGGGGATAGAATTCCAGAGGTTAGGGGCAGAGTGGCTGAAGGCTCTCCCATCAATGGTGGAGCGGGTGGGTCAGGGGACGTGGAGCAGGCCAGAGCCAACTGAGCGGAGGGAACGGATGGGTTGGTAGGGGGTTAGGAGGTCGCAGAGGTAGGGTGGGGCGAGGCCATGGAGGGCTTTGTATGTGAGGACCAGGATCTTGAACTGGATCCTCTGAAGGATAGGGAGCAATGGAGTCGGGCGAGAGTGGAGGAGTTGGGGTCATGGAGTTTGGTGCGGGAGAGGACATGGGCTGCACAGTTCTGGATTATCTGCAGCCTGTGGAGGGAGGAGTTGGGAAGGCCGACAAGCAGGACATTTGCATAGTCGAGCCTGGAGGTGATGAAGGTATGAACAAGAGTTTCAGCGGCCTGAGGGGTGAGGTATTGACAGAGTCGAGCGACGTAACAGAGGTAAGGGAAGGCAGAGCGGGTCATGGCTTGAATGAGGGGGAGAAAAGACAGTTGAGGGTCGAACAAGACACCTGACTGGCTTGGTGAGTTGTAGTGAGCAACCATGGAGGCGCTGAGACGCTGGTGTGAGCCAATCTGGAGGGCCTCAGTCTTGTTCACATTCAACTGTAGGAAATTTGCCCTCATCCAGGACTTGATGTCCGACAGACAGTCTGTCAGGACAGCAGTGGTCCTGGAGTTGATAGTGGAGGCAGAAAGATAGTTGGGTGCCATCCGCATACATATGGAAGTTGACCCCATGTCTGCGGATGATGTCACCAAGGGGGAGCATGTCGATATTAAAGAGGAGAGGGCCAAGGACGGAGTCCTGGGGGACGCCAGATGTGACAGTGCGGGGGCTGGAGGAGAAACCATTAGAGGCAACGCAGTGGAGACGGTGAGAGAGAGGGGGAAGCATCGCACCAGGCAAGGGCAGGTCCGTGAAGATTGAGTAAAGCAGAGAGGCGGTGTATGACGATGGAGTGGTCGAAAGTTCAGTTGTGGAAGTGTCATCCTTTGGATGAGTTGTCAAACCAACGTTCTCTTATCATTCTGTTCTCCAGTGGGAGCAATTTTAAATTCTGATCTTAATAATACAGAATTGCTTTGCATTCAAGTTCAGAATTGACGAGCCTTTGTACAATATTTAATTGGCGCAGATTACTTAGATGTGCTTGCTTTCTGGAGAGTGCATTTTGATTCTTTCCTCTCCAGAAGGCAGTAACTCGTGTTAGGTTAGGGTTCCTTGGATGCTGGCAGCGTTCCAATGCTTTGCTAAAAACCTTCATATGTAAACTGAGGCAGTGAATGGAATCAGCAAGCTGTTTGATCACAGATGAATCTGACCTGTCCTCTGCACAGGCACTTTCCAACATGAGTTGATGCATAACAATCTATAGCAGGGGACATTTTTCCTTTCTTGCCCAGAGTACTAGAGCAAGTTCCAGATGTTACACTGCTGCCCAGTTGAGATACACCAGAGATTGAAGCTGAGACTCTCCTGTCTATTTGGCTTTGTGGGTAAATGCATCATGTGTCATGGAGGCTGAACCATTGAGAAATTTTTACGATATTGAATTACGTGATTCCTGGAGATTGAATTAAGAATCGCAAGCCACACTTTAGATTTTGCCGGCAAAGAATTTGCAATCTCTAAATTGAGAATTTTGCAAACTAGGAGGCTCAATTAAAGCAACAAATCCAGGTTGTGAATAATACATTTTTAACCTCAACATAACTAATTCTGAACTTGATTTGATTGTATTTTAATGCATTTGAAATGGTTCTTTTTTATTTTATTAGAGTTTTGGTTCATTGCACTTGTCTGATATGAACTGAGGTGATGCTCAATCAAAGTTAAAGCTGAACCAAGGAGGGATTAGTAAATTGGTACTATATCTCTTCAGTAATAATTCAAATTAATCCAATGCCACTATTTTTGACATGGAGGATATTGAAAGTAGGTAGTTATTTGGAGTGGAAGAAGTAAATAATCTTGCTAAAACGTCACCAAAGAAATTTAATTTTGTGCAGATTGTATTAACAGATAGGTCAGGTATGAAGACATTTAACAAATATAGACGCTGAAATCTTAAAAACAAAGAGTTATTTAAGAACTGGAAACCAAACCTACATATACAATGCTTTGGTATTATAAGGCAGTTGCAATGACTTGAAGATTTTAAGATGGGTTCTTTCAGTTATGTTGTAAGCACTGCATTGAACTTCCTGAACTTAGGCTGCTTAAACTTGTAACTATTGTCAATGTTGTTTCCATATCCACAACATTTTTGTGCTTTGTTTTCATATCTACAAGTAATCACATAAATATTTTGAAATCATTCTGAATAAGTAAACACATAAATATTTTGAAATTTGAGGGATTAGTAGCAGAATGCAGATTTTAAAAAATCGCATGTGTTATTTTGTTGGACAAAAATAAAGGATTGTATGCAGAGACTAGGGAGGTAAATTTACTGATAGTTGCTACCCCATTAGAATGAAACATTTTTAGCCTTAATTTCTTATGCTTTGAATGAAGTCACCTTTATTCCGGAACTGAGCTAATATAGATCAAAGATACCTCATTGTTAGGGTTGCAGATTTCGCACAGCCGTAGTAGTAAATTTAGTGAATTTGGTAGGTTTATGGGCAAATGTTCGGAGAAATGACGGGTATTTTGACGGGTAAATTCAACTATACTCCCGGAAAAGCGATCCGCCAATCGAATAACTTCCCACATTAACCTTGAGGGAGGCCAGCCCAGGCCCCGGCCTCACTCAAACTTAACAATAATAATCCTTGCATTTAATTTAGCTCCTTATCACGTCTTTGAGACGTCTCAATATATTATAAAGTGGATTGATTGTGTATCTTATGGGCAAAACTTTAACTTGGGAAATGTACGAATTTCAACCGGGACAGCGAGTTTTATCGTGGACAGATGGAAAAATCATTGTATCTGTGACATTTTTTCTGCAGGGCAAACTTGCTCATTGTTGCCACCAGTGTAGTATGTGATCAGTTGAAGGGAAAGGGTATCATACAGTGAAACAAAGCAGAGAAATTGATTCCAACTTTGACAAATGGGTTGGTTTTGACAATTGGCTCTCACTTGGAATCATGCATTTGGGAAAATACTTGGCTATTCGAACATTAAAACACTTTATGTAATAATAATAATAATAATAATCCTTACATTTGATATAGCGCTTTTCACGTCGGGAGGACGTCCCAAAGCGCTTCACAGAACACACTAAAGTGAATTGACTGTATATTTGTGGGCGAAGGCGGCAGCCAATTGCGCACAGCAATGTCCCACAAACAGTCGTAGATTGAAAATGACCAATTTATTATTGTTTTGTTTTGGAGGGATTATTATTAGGCTCTGTGTGGAGTAAGGAAACTTGCCCAAGGTTTCGCCCTCTGCCTGGAATTGAACTCAGGTCTCTCGCTTGCAAAGCGAGTGCTCTAACCACTGAGCTAAAGGACTCCACGTCTTGTACATGTACTGTATTATGTGTGTCAATAATGTGTGGTATATCCATAATAGTAAAACGCACGCAAATAATGGGTCTCCAATTACCCGAAACATCCATGTACTGTTCTTGCATCGCAATCATTCAAACTCCCAACATTTTAGCTTCCAGTTTGGAACAGAATGCCAATGACTGGTAAGATCTAGTGATGCACATTGAAATTTCGCAAACGTGAAATTTGAAGCAAGGATAAGTTTATCTCTTGGTGTACTGAGAGCCAGTTGAGCCTGGCAAGGACGGTTTGGGAGAGAATATGTACTACGGTACAGAGTTTTGGATGATGGTGCAAAGTTTATAGACTATAAATGAAACCTGGTTGACATTTGGCTGGAACCCATATTAGAAAAATGCACATAATAATAATATAATAATAGTAATAATCATCTTCCTTGCATTTGATATACATTTCATACAACATACTTTAGGAACTTATGTGATGTCATGGGCTTAGATGCTGTGACACCACATAAGGCTAGTTCTGTTGGAGAAATTAATTCATGGCATGAAACTCTTGAGAAAGGAAATATATCATAAAGTGCACACTCAAGTAAGCCAACTAATACTTTTATATTAAGTTGAAGATTCATTGCTATTTGACAGTGTTGGATTTGCAAGTCATTGCGGTTCCATTTTCTTTCATGCAGGAATATGAAGAAAAAGCTAGGAGAGCCCACAAGTGTTCCTCTCCTAATCAGAGTGTGAGGAAGAACCTGGACTTCGAGCCTCTCTCCACAACAGCACTTATCCTAGAAGACAGGCCAGCGTGAGTATTTATGTATTTGTTTTATCTTTAGTATTTTGCATTGAGGTCCCAGCAATGAGCCTGGCTTGGTTGGTAGCACTCGTCCTCTGACTCGGCTGACACGCCAATGATGCCTTGTTGGTGATGGAGTCTGTCAGATGAGACATTCAAATACCTGTTCAAATGGATTTTAAAGATCCTATTGCACTGTGAGATCCAACAAGCACAGGTTAGAACACTCACTAGGATTAAATTAAATGCAAGCATTTTTATTATGAAAGGCACTATATGAAGACAAATTGGTATTGTCGTTGACTTCATGGCTGTTTACAGGACATTGCTGTGCACAAATCAGATATTGCATTCGCCTACAAATATCTACTCACTGCACTTCATAGTAAAACCGCCTAAAGTGTTTTGAGATGTTCCAAAGATGTGATGAGGCACCATATCAAATGCAACAATTATTATTATTTTCTTTTTCCATAGAAATCTTCCGGCAAAACCTGCAGAAGAATCTCAGAAACACAGGCAACAGTACGAGGAGATGGTGGCTCAAGCAAAAAAACGAGGTTAAATTCCTGTCATACATTTTGTTCCTCATTTGGTGGTAATTCATTCAAATGTATGAAAGAAATAATAATAATCCTTGCATTTGATATAGCGCTTTTCACGTCAGGAGGACGTCCCAAAGCGCTTCACAGAACACACTGTAAAGTGAATTGACTGTATATTTGTGGGCGAACGCGGCAGCCAATTGCGCACAGCAATGTCCCACAAACAGTCGTAGATTGAAAATGACCAATTTAATTATTGTTTTTGGTTTTTTGGAGGGATTATTATTAGGCTGTGTGGAGTAAGGAAACTTGCCCAAGGTTTCGCCCTCTGCCTGGAATTGAACTCAGGTCTCTCACTTGCAAAGCGAGTGCTCTAACCACTTTAATTTATGTTTCGCCTCAAAGGGCCGTTGTTTCAAGGAAAGATTCTCACCTGGTGAAAACCAAAAAGCACGTATAGTAAACTCCTGATAACTCGTTACTCCACGGGAAAAGAGCTCAATGTCCTACAAACAGCCAAGATGTCAATAACAATACAGTATCCAAAGTGGCGAATTAGGCATATATCTAGTAAATAATGGAGCTTATTACAAAAGTAAGCTTATTGCAAAAAAAAAGTTTATGGAGAGTAAGTAGTTAATTATCGGTTAATTTTAAAACTACCAAAAAAGAACATTTATATTTAGCAAATGAATTTTATTAATGCTGTTCCAGTATCCACAATCCATGTTATGTAGATTCAATCGAACTCTTCATTTACATTGCAAATGTTCGGATTTTGCCTTCCTTCAACAACAATAATAATTTGCATTTATGTTTCGCCTCAAAGGGCCGTTGTTTCAAGGAAAGATTCTCACCTGGTGAAAACCAAAAAGCACGTATAGTAAACTCCTGATAACTCGTTACTCCACGGGAAAAGAGCTCAATGTCCTACAAACAGCCAAGATGTCAATAACAATACAGTATCCAAAGTGGCGAATTAGGCATATATATAAATGCAAAAATAAATGTGGCCGGGATATTGACAAAATTAAGCCAGGGTCGAGTCATCAGCAGTTTACTGTATTCATAACTTAATTAATTCTGTTCTTGAGCTATGGATATCAGTCTCAAACTGGACAGAGCATACATGTTCAATGAACAAGATTGATGAGACACAAAAGGGAACATTTGGTGATTAGTCCTATTAGCAGGGACACATTCCACATCCTGTTACATCTCCTGTGGCAGTTATGGTAATAGCTTTTTAGATTACAGGTTCTTCCGACTTAATTTTCACATTTGTATTTTAAGGGGAGTAAAGCCGATGGCAACAGCTTCATACTTTACCAAAAAAATAATTTTAGAATTGGTTTACAAGTGTATTATGGACGTACTTCCTGAAAAATAACTCCTTTTGAAGGGGTTTGGTCAGTTAAGCAAGATGATATTTATTGTGTAAAATGGGCATAAAATACAATATTAATTAATTGTTGTAACAGGTTCATGAATGACAACTCAGTGTTTCTTTGGCTTTTTGTGAACTTTGATTCCTCTAATAAATGGGAAATTTTAGACCAATAACTCTTCCAATTATTATTGGTTATAGTGCAGCGTTTCTGCTACAGTAAAACTTGAAAAGCGTTATCTTTATAAATTGTATAATCTCCTAAATCGTACATTCTCCCACCCAAGTACCATTCAGTTTCCTATCAAAACCACTTAGATTTATTTGCGCTACTCGTATTAATAGCCTCCTAACTCGTAACGCTGCGCTCCCCTACCCTCCATTATTCCTGCACTTACCGGCTGCTTGGAATCGCGGGAAATTATGTCCAGACCTGCTAACGCATGCGTACTTATCGGCCGGTTGCATTGAATCGCAGGGAACATAGTCTTTATGTCATAAGGCGCTGGATAGTCAGTGTTTTGGTCCTGACACTACAGGACAGAGGATTGCAGGTTCATACTGTTTGCCTTTCAGATTTAGCTGATTTCATTTAGGACAGTGATCAAGGCGTTGCATTTGGCTTTAGCACCCTGAGTTAGGGAGTGGAAAATCAGCAACAGTTCCTACTCAACGACCCTGGAGAAGCATTGGGTGAAAATGCTATGTCTGCTGTGCCTTTGTTGTTTAGAGGGGCTTTCTTTTACCCCCTTCTCCCAAAAGTGTCAACAGCCTGACACATGAATAATAGTCGCTTGAGTTAGATCCTGAAAAGCATCACAGCAATTAACAATTGGAGGGAAAACCTTTATATTTGTGTTATCTGTTCTATACAGAGCTAAAAGATGCTCAGAAGCGCAGGAAGCTCCTAGAGGAGAGGTGTAAACTGGAAGAAACAATCGGCAATGCTGTGCTGACCTGGAACAATGACATTCTGCCCAACTGGGAGACTGTGTGAGTAGGAAATAGTGCATTTCACTGTAACAAGAATACGAGCATTAAAATAATTTATTTTCCTGCTATTGAATCACATTTGTATCGCACTAATTTATGTCACAGCAATTGAATTGAGGTATTTTTCTGTAAATTTGTCTTATTAAATATATACTGTAGTGCAGATATCCAGTGGTAGCACAAAAACACAATAAACAAAATCTCTGTTTAAAATTAGTACTATATGATACACAAATTCTAAGGAGCAGATTTAAAGTAAGTCTAGTGTCTAATTATTTCCACTTATCGGTGAGTCAGTAACTCGAGGACATCAATTCAATACAGTGAAATAAATGAATGGGAGATTAGAATTTTTTTCAGGCATTGCTTCCTATGTGCTGCACATTGCATGTACATTTACAATACAATACGTTTTTCTAATCTGAAGGTATCAATCTCGTAAAGTTCGGGAGCTCTGGTGGCAGGGTATTCCTCCAAGTGTAAGGGGAAAAGTGTGGCGCTTGGCAATGGGCAATGACTTGAACATTACTCACGGTAAGTGCTAAGACATATCGGTCATTTTTAGTTTCTGCCTCTTTTTTCAGTTACTACCGATTGTACAAAGTTGGTAGTGTAGCTCGTGGTGCTCGATGCACCATTTTACTAGTATCTCTAGATCTTCCAATAGAAATTTCAGTAACATAATTGGAAATTTATAGAGCTTTACATAGACTGTACAGCACAGAAATAGCATTTGGCCCAACTAATGCATGCTTGTGTTTACACTCCACATCAGTCTTCACCACTCCTTACTCAAGCCCATCATTTTCTATTCCTTTCTCCCTCGTGTATATCCAGCTTCCTCTTAAATGCATCTATACACTGATTCAACACTGCTTCAGGCAGCAAGTTCTACAGTCTCATTACTCTCTGTATGAAGGAGTTCCTCTTAAATTCTCTTTTAGATCCCCAAGTCGCGATCCAATACTTGTGTCCCTTGGTTGCAGACCCCCAACAAGTGGGAGCAGCCTATTTAAGCTAACTTTTTCGAATGCTTTTATAATTATGAACACCTCTATTAGGGCCCCTCTTAAATGCCTCTTCTCTCTAATAATCCTTGCATTCGAAAAAGGCTTAACATCCAGTCTATCCTGATAACAGTAATATGCCAGCCTTGGTATCATTCTAGTAAATCTACACTGTACTCTTTCCATCGCTGCTGTATCATCCTTGTAGTGTGGTCACCAGAATTGGATACAGTACTCCAAATATGGTCTAACCAAGGTTATATACACATTCAATATTACCTCCTCAATTTTATATAATCTAGGCTATAGATAGCTTCATTATTTTTTCTGTCAAAGCGAATTACTTCATATTTTGCTATGTGTCTGCCCATTCTGCTAGCCTGTTTGTTTTTTGCATTCTTCACTATTTACCACAGCCCAAGTTTGATGTCATCTGCAAATTTTGACACAACAATTTCAAAAGCACTGTCACAATTGGGGGCCGACATGTGGTGGTACTCCCTTCGATTTGCGATATATACAAATTTTTCAGTGCTCTCTTATGATGAGGAACTATCAAGTTTTGGCACACGTTGTGAATGGATGACAATCCCCAATATTTTTAGTAACAAATTTATTAAATTACACAAACTTGTTTAATTTTTTTTAAAAGACAAATCACTTTATCTTTTCAGAATTGTATGACATTTGCCTATCACGAGCTAAAGACAAGTGCAGATCTCTCAGCATAGCAACATCGGATACAGACAATGAAGGTATCATTTTTGAGTTTCTTGTCTCACAGGTCACAGAGGATATTAATTTGAGTTAATTTATAGCACAAGTAACGCCTTCCTACAGATAGTTTTGCCAATATATTTTAAGCTTATGTTTGTACAGATCTATCAATCACCCAGAAAAGAACGATTGAATATTTTTGGAACTCTTAATACTTTATGAATGGGGTGGGGGTGAATAGAGTAGATTGATATCCTGACTGCTGAAGGATTAACCTATAGATTGCAACATTCTCAGTATTCTTATAATGTGTCTGAACCTACAAACTCTGACTTACTCCAGCTATTTTAATTTTAGTGTATCAATAATACACTAAAGTGTGGCAGGTTCTGAACATAGCTCCTCCTTCTATTGTTGTGAGAACAGACTTGCCAGAGCTGACAGCTCTTCTCTGTCTGCATGATGGAAACTTCACTTCTATTTGGCATTCCACCTATTGCCTAATGCTTGGAACAACTGACATTTTCTTACAAGTAATAAGTAGCCCAGGAAATAACACTCATGGCCACCCAGCAGGTTTGTGTCCAGTTTCTCTCTCTACAAGGCATTATTAAACCAGGTGCCGAGCTAGAGATCTTATCAATACACACCCAATGAGTTAAAAGCTCAGTAAAATGGTTACTGTCTTGAAAGAAATCCTGTATTTGAAAAAGGATGGATCATGGTAGGGAGAATTCTCTCCTGCTACTATGGAAAACAACAGCGTTGATGACTCAAAGAGCCCATCCTTCAAGACCACAAAATTATTAGATATTCATTGACTCATTAATAATCCCACCTAGCAACCACACAAACCCATGTTCAGTATTTTGTGGAACAAAAAAATGTGTTTTGTCACTTTTACAGACTCGGGGCTTTCTGCAGCGGACAGGGAAGCCAGCTTGGATCTCATCAAGTTGGATATTTCTCGCACATTTCCTAATCTTTGTATATTTCAACAGGTAAATGTTTTTATCTCTTTTAATATTATCAAAATATGCAGTATATCTGGGCATAATAAGGTAGAAGTGCAATATGATAGTCTGTTTAGTAGTGCATGAAAGCTAACCGCCAGTTAACATTTGACCTATTGTCTTGATAAAAGCACTCCATACGCTTGACAAAAATTGTTTGTGGGACACTGTTGTTTTGACAAACACTGTGTGTCTTTAACTTTCACAACAACAACAACAAAATTGCATTTATAGAGTGCCTTTTCGTTATCCCCTACTTAGAACTGTGGAGGACAATTTAAATATCTTTGTTTTGATTTTGTAATTTTTTTAAAACATGAAAATAAGTCTCTTGACAATTGCGCAATTGGCTGCTGGGTTTCGTCCACAAAATACAGTCAATTCACTTTGCAATATATTCTGTGAAGGGCTTTGAGACGTCTAGAAGATATGAAAAGCGCTACATCAAATACAAGGGGTATTATTATTTGTCCTTTTTCGTCGGATTTTTGCCAAAAAGAATCCCATTGAGACTGTGTTTATTTATTTTATATGTATGTGGTGCAGATACAACATTAACACTAATTTGATTGCTCCTTGTTGGCACAAATTAGCTACCACATTTGTCTGACAACATTGTATTTCGTATCATACATATTCATTTATGTAAAACAATTTGAGAGGTTTAGTTTACATTAAAGGCAATACATAAGTAGTGTCAGCTTGGCTCAGTTTGTAGCACTCTCGTGTCTGAGTCAGAAAGATGTGGGTTCAAGCTCCACATTGTGACTTTGAGCTCATAGTCTATGCTGACACTTCAGTGTGTTTCTGGGTGCGAGTTGCTGCACTGTAAGAGATGCCGTCCTTTGAATGTAACGAAAACACTGAGGTTTCATCTGTCTGTGTCCTGGTCTGCAGCTCAAGATAAAATTAGTCATAGACTGCGTGGATGTTTGTGAGGCACTGCTGTGCACAAATTGGCTGCCGTATTTGCTTACAAATACACCATCGCTACATTTTACAGTAAATCCTGTCAAGCACTTTGTGATATTTTGAACGACACATACATTCTATCCTTTGTATCCTTTGCATACAAATGCATCGTCAACAATATATATTGATATAAAAGCAGTCCGTCCTTTGAGGCTCTAACTCATGTGAAGGGCACTTATATGTGTGTGTATATATATATATATATTTACACACACATATATAAATGCAAGTTGTTACTGTTAAACTAATATCTTATTTATTTTCACAGGGTGGCCCTTATCACGATGAACTTCACAGCATTTTAGGTGCATATACCTGTTACAGACCTGATGTAGGATATGTAAGTGATTATTGTGGTGTGCTGAGCAACTCATTTGAATAAGAATTGTAGTACCTAACAATAGTTTTGAGTTTGCTTCTTATAGTTTGAAGTTTTGAATAACAATGTTTACATTGTGCCCATTGGAGAATGGTAAAGGTGAATTGGTGCTTTTTTTAAAATTGGAGCAGAAGAAATTGAGGGGTGATATGGCAGATGGCTTTAGGAGGAAATAAATCACTGACAGCAAACTGTAGACATCGAAGTGACCACGTGTTTAACATTGCCTAAAAAAATCAATATTTATGAGCAACAATTACAGTGCAGCCCCATGATAATGTGAATTTGAAATTTTGATTAACAGACTTATATATGCTTACATTGTGCCACTGGAGAAAGGTAAAGGTGAATAAGCAAATTCGCTTATAACACTCTTGTATTGTGGACCCCCCATTGTTTCAAATATGTATAAGACACAAAGAAAACATTCTCAGGAATTACGTATTTGTGGAGCTTTGCTCTTGGATTTTGTGATTGAGCTCTTGAATTGGATTAGGGCCTTGCTGTGCATTTAGGTATCGATGTACGCAACTTAGCTGTAGCCCAATTCATGTTCACTGTTTTCCATCTTCTTTTAAAAGGTGCAGGGAATGTCATTCATTGCTGCAGTGCTGATACTAAACCTGGATACTGCAGATGCCTTTATTGCCTTTTCTAATTTATTGAACAAACCATGTCAGATGGCATTCTTTCGCGTGGACCATGGCCTTGTGAGTATCAATGAGGAATATACTTAGTCATCGTAGTCACAGTTTCCATGGTTTGCCTACAAAATACACACTCCACAGTAATATCCTCTGGGGAACTTTGGTATGTTCTCCTGACTTGAAAGGCACTGTGTCAAATATAAGTATTATTAAGTATATAATTTTATACTTATGGTGATTGCAGTTGCATTACAAACTGTTCTTCATCTAATACAGGATAACCCCGGTATAACATGCCCTGGTTTATCATGGATCCACTTATGGCGCAAGTATGCTTTGAACTTGAGATAAAGCAGAAGGCACACTTTCTGGTGCTTCCAGGTCATCAGATCGCTACTGATGTCACTTCCTGTGCAGTTAGCAATGTCAGTGACAAATCGCCTACCTAGCAGGTGCCCTTTTTTTTATTCCCCTCCATTATAAGGCATGGTCTGAAAATATTGACCGAAACCACTGTGTTATAACAGGATTGCTCTGTTTATTCCTATGACTGAATCTTGAGTAGTGTAATTAATTAAAATATGAGAACCCAGTATCTTGAAACAATTATCAGTATCATTTTTGTTCCTCTAGATGTTGACGTATTTTGCAGCCTTTGAGGTGTTCTTTGAAGAGAATTTGCCACGATTGTTTGCACATTTCAAGAAAAACAACCTTACCCCAGATATTTATTTAATTGACTGGTAAGCAGTATTTTCAATTCCTTCAAAATATCTAATTAACTGCTTTTGGTTTCCAGGTACTCTATGACATCCATTCTTAAATTCTCTCTAACCATACTCATAACACAAGCGCTTACATTTATATGATACCATTCACGTAGCATAAAGTCTCAGCTCTTTGGGTTGGGTTGGATGCCAAGCAAGGGAAACAGGAGAGGTGACTATAGGATTTTTTAAAGTTGGTCAAAGATGGCCTGAGAGAGTTACTCAAAGAAAGTACAGCTCAGAAATAGGTAATTTGATGGATCCTCCCCTAGTTCCATATCTGGACTTTTCCCTATAACTCTCAACTTTATTCTCTCTCATCCAGTCTTTTTTTTGATCATGCATATGGTTGCCACCCCAACACCTGACCATGACAGAGAATTCCACACTCCCAACACTCTGTGAAAAAGCTCCTCCTAATCTCTGTTCTGAACCTCCAAGTTATGAATTGAAAACTATTAATAGGTGGATGAGAGAGAGAGAGCGTTCCAAACAACAACAACAGCAAAATTGTATAGTACCTTTCACGTCGGGAAGATGTCCCAAGGTTACATACAATGGAACCTGATGAGGACTGCCGTGCAGTGTTTGGTGAAGGTGCAGAGTTTTGGATCAACTGGAGTTTATGGGTGGTGGAACTAGGGAGACCAAAGTGCTTTGGAAAAGTCTAGTCGAGAGGTAAAAAAAGGCATCAGTGAGGGTTTCTGTGGCATTTGGTGCTAAATGGAGGTGTGGCAAAAGTAAAGAGGTGTGGTTTTGGTCAAGAACCAAATGGAAGGAAGGGGAGCTAAGGATTGAACCAAACGCCAAGGTTGTGTACTGGTTTGATGAGTTTGACAGAGGGCAGGGAGGTCAGAACTGGAAGTGAGGAGATGTTGGTGGGGCTGAAGAGGGTGTCTTCTGTCTTGTCTATGTTAAGCAGTAAGAAATTGAGCCTCATCCTGGTCTTAATATCTTGATAGGTGAGTGAACAATCTTGTTGTTGTTGTTGAACAGAATATCAATGGACATAATTAATCTTTGGCTCAGTTTCCACATTCCTACATTGTTTGGCATTGGAATAATAATAGATTCCTATACTTTTGCACAGATTAAGATTTGTTACCTCCTCGAATAAAATACCAAATTACATTTGTATAGCACCTTTCACGTCGGGAGGACATCCCAAGGCGCTGGGCAGTCAAGGATTTGAACCCGAGTAGTGGGGGGGTGGGGGTAGTTGGGATCAGGGAGGTTAGTGGGAAGGGAGGTAGGAGGGTGGCCAAAGGCGCAATCGAAGAGGAGGGTCTGGAGACGTGCCTTGAAGGAGGTAAGGGAGGAGCAGAAAGAGCAGACAGGTTGACATGGTACAATGCTTATTCTACCAACTTGGAGGTCAGTGCTGACAGTTTTGTATTCTAATACTGGACAGTGTTGATAATCAATTTAGATGAAGCCAAATACTTGTGCCTATTGTTTTATCATAAACTAGTCTGAATTCTTATTCTCCAATAAAACATACTGTTTTTTGCTTCAGAACAAATGTTACTGAGCAACATTTTTCCATTTATTAAATCAATTAATTTTAGAGCATAAGAACATAAGAATTAGGAGCAGGAGTAGGCCATTGGGCCCCTCGAGCCTGCTCCGCTATTCAATAAGATCATGGCTGATCTAACTCCACCTACCTGTCTTATCCCCATATCCCTTAATCCCTTTATCCACAAGAAATCTATCAATCTCAGTCTTGAATATGTTCAAGGACTGAGCATCTACAGCCCTTTGGGGTAGAGAATTCCATAAATTCACTACTCTCTGAGTGAAGAAATTTTTCCTCAACTCAGTGCGAAACGTTTACCCCTAATTTTAAGACTATGACCCCTGGTTATAGTTTCTCCAACCAGGGGAAAAGGTCTCCCACTATCTATTCTGTCGTGCCCCTTTATAATCTTACAGGTTTCTAAGCCTAAATTGAGCCTAAATTCCTCAACCTATCCTCATAACTCATCCCCTTCATCCCAGGTGCCACTTAGTGAATCTGCGTTGTACCCCCTCCAAGTTTTTCTTTAAAAAACACTACCAAGTGAAAATATCAAATTTATTTACACTCAAACATTGCACAATAACAAATATAAATATTCAGTTGCTACTTCAATCATGTTAAACCATTGATACGTTATTCTCCATTTCAGGATCTTCACGCTGTACAGCAAATCTTTACCTCTGGACCTTGCGTGTCGTGTCTGGGATGTATTCTGCCGTGATGGAGAGGAATTCCTTTTCCGAACTGCTCTTGGGATCTTAAAACGTTATGAGGATATTTTGACACCAATGGATTTTATCCACATGGCGCAGTTCCTGACTAAACTCCCAGATGATGTGGTAGCTGAGGAGTTCTTTGGAGCCATTGCGACCGTTCAGATGCAGAGCAGAAACAAAAAGTGGGCTCAGGTAAGAAAGATAAAGTGCACTGGACGCTGGGAATCTGTAGTCTATTTATCAGTATCACTGGTGTGGAAATTGTATTTTTAAACTAGAAATTCTAAAGAGTTAGAACCGAGCAAGTAACTTTTGTTTACTTGTTTGTCAAGGTTTAGCGTCACGATGACAGAAGATGTTCAGCATGAGATAAGTGCCATATTGACATCATAAGTAAAAGTTTTTTATAATTTTTCAATCTCAGGTCCTGACAGCACTCCAAAAAGACACCAGGGAGCTGGAGAAAGGAAGCCCTTCTCTGAAGCGATGACTTGCACACCTGAACATCTGATGCCATATTCCAGTACATTAAAAATGAAGACCCTTATAAATCAGAAGAATGCAGTTCTTACTGTGAATCCCACCTGTCTTTTGAGTTGCTTCTGAAATCACTGGAGTTGAACTTAAACAATCTATATACATAATTGAAACCATGGTCGTAGCCTTAAACTCAAATGGCCTCATCTCCTATGCATCAAATGTAGTGTTGCTTTATTTGACCTATTTGAAGACCAGCTTGCAACAATCGTACAATGCTGGAGTAATATTTTACTGCTGGTCTCAAATGCTTTTATCCAACTTTGAATAACCAGCATGTCACGTATATTAGGATAAAAAGAAAAGTTGTATTCACATGAAGATGTGTTTTCTCACATCTACTCTCATTCCTTATGTCATTTAGAAGAACATGATTTCATTCGTCAAATTTGAAATTTGAAAGCATAACTTCTTAATCATGTTATTAATCATGTTATTCCATGCCACTAAAAATATCAAGAGTTGTACCACAAAATAGACTATCCTCAAAGTACATCTTTTTTATGGCCGAAACTTCCCGATTTCAATCTGATTCAAATCATTTCATTAAGTTTCCCCAATTTCACAATTACATTTGTCTTTTTGTAACTCAGTTAATTTTCACTTGCAGTGAATGCATCCCGGTTATTTTGTCTCAAGTTAAACACAGGAACTGTGAATGCATCCATTCAAATGACCTTTATGTAACCAAACACTTGGATTCTCTTCCTGGGCCTTCCTGTGCATTAGAGGTAACTACTGTTACTAGGAGAGTCCCACAAAAAACAATATTAGTGTAATGTTAAACAAAGTGTGTGAAATGCTAAGGTAAAATTCCATCTGTTTCACTAGAAGATTGGTATTTCTGTAGTCTAAAGCATAAAATTTAAAAAATATATATATCAGGATTTTAAGTTGGCATTATTTTTATGAAATTTAATCTAGAATAACAATGTCCAGTGATCTTACTCAATAACAGCTATTGAGAGTAGATTACGAATCATCTTGCAGTGAATTCAATGCAGCTACTGATGTGGTTCAATGAGCTATGATTCGGTGTTAGCTCATCGTGCTGGAAGACAGCTCCACACACGTGCACTCAAACAAGCACATAGAGTATTGTACTGCTTACCCATCTCCAACTGAGGGTTGTTTCCTGCAATTGTGAAGACCGGACCACTTTTGCATTGAAAGGCAGATGATTTATAGTAGCAAAGGTTTAAAGGCAAGTTGAAAAGCAAGCTTTCTGTCAGCAGCTGTTGTACTGCTCCTCTGATCATGTTGCTGCACCAACGATCAACAGATGGTTACTTCTATTTGGAGTGTTGTAATTTTGATTTAATACATTCAGTGATTTGGTTTGGATTCACTCTTTCCTCCTCTCCTCAAGTACTTAATTGTATTCAGTACTTCATTGTATTCAGTACAAGTGTTTAACTGTATTTAGACGTCCAGAGGATCAGTTTGTGTGAGCGGCATCAGTTTTCATGGCAGATAATTATCCGTCACCGTGTTCGGTGCGACATCTTCCGTAACATTAATGCAGTGATGAGGCAAAATGCATCTGACAGTTTATTTCAGCTTCTCCACAGTCTCATATCACTGTTTTGTAACGGAGGGTAAGAGGACTTTGTGGACACGCTGTACAATACTGAAATTATTTGAACCTTTGTTACAACTGATGCATGTTAGAATGAGTTGCTAAATGGTGGTAATGTACAGTATGTTATAATAGTAGCCGATTGTCCCCAGTAACATGCTGACCTCATGTTACTAGCAAGATAACATAGCTGGATTTTGTTCCCTACTGGCAGGATATAGTAGTATCTTTATAGGGTTATCAGATCAACCTCTGCTAAAATGTCTCTAAAACATTGCGTTCCCAAATAACCTCTTAAAAGACTGAACCCTACATTTGATTTGAACACATATTGATCACACTGCTTGATAATCAAGGTTCAAGTTTTAAACTTGCCATCTCATTAATTATCCTTTTGCAAAAAAGAAAAACTCAGGTTTATATATACAGATGTGGTGATCTTGACCAAGTCTTGTTATACCTTTGGGTTCTGTGTGTACCCAACAGCTTATTTTGGTAAGTGAACAATTTCATACAATAAAGGATGTCTACATCTCTGATGATAATAATAATAATAATAATAATAATAATAATAATAACAACCTAGTTTATTCCAGTCTGTGTGAAAGTATTGTGCAGTCTCTTCAAAGAGCTGATGTGACACAAGAGGATTTTAATCAGCAAGAAACGACCCTAACAGTTTTCTTTTTGGGATGACCTGAGACCTTTCTAGTTTGTATCACATCCTGGAGTGATGTGTGTGACTAAGAGGAGGACGCAATACTAAAATACAGATTGAAACCAGAGGAAATTTCAAAAATCATTTACATATTAAACTGGAGACCTGGGTGATCAAACTAAATGGCAGGATTTTTTTATTGCGGGTAATGAACAAAACAGACAAGTAGGTCAAGTTGATGACAAATCGATCCTTCTTTACACATTTTCCTATGACCAAAGAAAAAGAAAATATTGGGTAACACTGTATGATGTGCAGACCCCTGTGCAGGTCCTTAAGAAGGGCACCTCCCTATAATACATCTTCAGCCCATGAGCAGTCTCTTATTTGGTTGCTTTAGGTATTGAGAACTTGAAATTGGAGGCCAGTTAGAGAGTGACCCTTTTGCACTTGTTTGTATAACCAAATGCTAGGATTGTTCAGCAATGAGCTATATTTGTGTTTGTACTAGTTTGTAGTTTCATTGAACATTTTTGTGCATATGGCTGATCATATTCATAAATAACTCCTCTTATGGTGATGTGAACAGTAAAATGCTGCAATAATATATTTGCACAGTTTCTTTTGAGAATTTATCATGGAATTACACCCATCGGGTGCAGCTAATCTGAGGATTTCTTTCCTTAATTTGATTAAAATTATGGTACTTTTATTTTGGTGGCAACAATGCAATTATGTGTATATATTGTTACAGCATAAATTGAAGATTATTTCAGAATGTACAGTCTTAAATATTTGAAGGATGCGTATATCCTATTTTGGAGCACCACACTCAATACTCTTTTATTTTGAAAATAGAGTGGTTTTATTTAATGCATTTGCATTTTTGAGCTGTGCATGTCGTGTTTTCACTCCTGGNTTTTTTTTGCAAACATGACATTTCTGCAGTTTTAAGCTTGGAATACTGTTTTAACCCATTTTAAATGTGTTTTATGATGAATACAATCACTGGAATGTAATTCACACAGTGCAAACTTTGCAGAGCAACACGTCTGGCTGCAGTTTTAATAATGGTTCACACCTTATTAATCGCCATAGTACGTCTTGTCTTGGTCTGTAAATGCTTTTAACTGTGAATGAACAGTGCATATGTTTTATTTGGCTGAATGTGAAGGAAACTGTAAATAAACACTGGAATGTCTTTCAATTGCATTGTAAATAAAATGTTTTCTTAAAGTAAATGTATCCGATTGAGGATGTAACTGGACTGAAATGTATCAGTATTTTGGAGGGCATGCATTCACCGAGTTTTAACTTCCTTTGCTGCTTAATTCTCTTTGACACTACCCGCGTGAAGGACACTATATAAATGCAAACTGCTGTTGTAGTTCAGAAAGGATTTAAACATCAGTTTTATTGAGTCGCAAACGGATTACCAAAAGAGGCCTATTCTTCGACCAAATATACCTTCCCTTGTTTTAAAATCTCACAGCTGCTGATGGTCAACCATATCCATTGACAGGGCACCACAGGCAAGATTATTATGGCAGGCTTGCTTGCCTGTGGATGCGCTGTCAATGGATGTGATTGTCCCAACAGCAGCTGCATTTTGTTTTCATAGAACCGTAGAATTATACAGTACAGAAGGAGGCCATTCGGCCATCACGTCTGTGCTGGCTCTTTGAAAAGAGCTATCCAATTCAATCCCACTCCCCCTCTCCCCATATCCCTGCAAACTTGTCCTCCCCAAATAATTATCTATTCTCTTAAAAATTATTATTGAATTGGCTTCCACTACCCTTTCAGCCAATGCATTCCAGAACTGAACAACTCGCTGCGTGAAATAATTTCTCCTCACCTCCCCTCTGTTTCTTTTAACAACTATTTGAAATCGGTGCCCTCGGGTTACTGACCTGCCCACCAGTGGAAATAATTTCTCCCTGTTCACCCTATCGAATCCCCTCATAATATTGAAAACTTCTGTTAAGTCTCCTCTTAACCTTCTCTGCTCCAAGGAAAATAATCCGAGCTTCTCCTGATAACTGAAATCCCTCAATCCTGGCTGTAGCTCAGTGGTTAGAGCACTCATTTTGCAAGCGAGAGACCTGAGTTCAATTCCAAGGAGGGCGAAACCTTGGGCAAGTTTCCTTACTCCACACAGAGCCTAATAATCCTCCAAAACAAAACAATAATAAATTGGTCATTTTCAATCTACGACTATTTGTGGGACATTGCTGTGCGCAATTGGCTGCCGCGTTCGCCCACAAATATACAGTCAATTCACTTTACAGTGTGTTCTGTGAAGCGCTTTGGGATGTCCTCCCGTTGTGAAAAGCGCTATATCAAATGCAAGGATTATTATTATTATTAGCATCCTGGTAAATCTCCTTTGCACCTTCTCCAATGCCTTGACATCCTTCCTAAAGTGTTGGGCCCAGAACTGAACACAGTGCTCCAGCTGAGGCCTAATCAGTATTTTATAAAGGTTCATCATAACTTCCTGATTTTTTCTATTCTATGCCCCTATAAAGTCTAGTATCCCCTATGCTTTTTTAACAGATTTATCTACCTGTGCTGCCATCTTCAAAGATTTACTTATACGAACCCCCAGGTCTCTCTGTTCCTTCACCCCCTTTAAGATTGTACCATCAGCTTATATTGCCTCTCCTCATTCTTCCTCCCGAAATGCATCACTTCGCATTTCTTCACATTAAACTTCACCTGCCACATGTCTGCCCATTTACCAGTCTGTCTATGTCCATTTGGAGTCTGCTACTATCCTCACTGTTTACCACTTTTCCTATCTTAAACCATCTGCAAACTTGGAAATTGTACTCTGTACCCAAGTCCAGGTCATCCTGTAGCTCAGTGGTTAGAGCACTCACTTTGCAAGTGAGAGACCAGAGTTCAATTCCAGGCAGAGGGCGAAACCTTGGGCAAGTTTCCTTACTCCACACAGAGCCTAATAAAAATCCCTCCAAAAAAAAACATTAATAAATTGGTCATTTTCAATCCATGACTGTTTGTGGGACATTGCTGTGCGCAATTGGCTGCCGCGTTCGCCCACAAATATACAATCAATTCTCTTTACAGTGTGTTCTGTGAAGCGCTTTGGGACGTCCTCCCGACGTGAAAAGTGCTATATCAAATGCAAGGATTATTATTATTATCATTTATATAGATCAAAAACAGCAGTGGTCCCAATACTGACCCCTGGGGGACACCTCTGCACACCTCCCTCCAGTCAGAAAATCAACCATTCACCACCACTCTGCTTTCTGTCTCCCAGCCACTTCTGTATCTATGCTGCTACTGTCCCTTTAATACCATAGGCTCCTATTTTGCTTACGAGTCTCTAATGTGACACTTTATCAAACGCCTTTTGAAAATCCATATAGACCACATCAACTGCACTACCTTCATCCACCTTCTCCGTTACTTCATCAAAAAACTCTTATCAGGTTTGTTAGACATGATTTGTTTTTTAACAAATCCGTGTTGGCTGTCCTTTATTAACCCATATTTTTCTAAGTGAAAATTTATTTTGTCCCAGATTATAGTCTCTAGAAGTTTCCCCACTACTGACATTAGGCTGACTGGCCTGTAGTTTCTGGGTTTATACTGCCTCTTTTTTTAAATTTAAATACTCCCACGATTAAGCAAAGTTCAATCCTCAGCCCATGTTAAATGGTCTTAAAAGTATTGTTTCTTATGCATTGCTATTCCTCCTGCTGTTTATCTTTCATTTGATTCATTCCCAGTTTTTCTCTAGAAACACACCACTTACTGGTGTGCAAGTTTTTGCAAGGATTAATGGAGCTAGTGCATCTTAGCTTCAGAGGACCATTTCTTAAATAAAGTTGCTCTGTTACCATGCTAAACAATATTGGTGGTTCAGAGAACAGACAGTACATTTTATCTAGAGTACATGTTATCATTTTATTTCATCTTCACAACTTTTTTTTAAGAAAATCAGATCCGAAGATAAGTTTTTCTTTTGGGGCTAGTTGAGGACCTTACGGTAGAAAAACATCTTGCTTTTAGTGACTCACAAAATGTATTGTGACACAAAGTACATTATGGATCGTATCCAATTGGATTTTAGTCTTATGTACTTCGCAGTGGAGACTGTCCAGCGCCTTCGGACGTCCTTCCGACATGAAAAGCGCTATACAAATGTAATCTTGTTGTTGTTGTTGTTGCGCATGCAATGGTGGAGAACATGTAAAGCTGAGTCTTCAGGTTTGACAACAAAGGGAATAACAGGAAGGTGGCGACTTTCAAGTTAACTGCAGCTGTAAAGTATTCGACATCAGATTTAGAGTTATGTCCTGTCTAACAATCCCCCAAATAAAATGATCATTCTTTTCATGGCTGTTTGTAGAACTTTGCTGTGTGCAATTGTGCTTCCTACAAATACAGTCACTCCATTTCACAGTAATTCCTGTGAAGCGCTTTGAGACATGAAGCATGAAACATGCCTTTCCCGATGTGAAAAGGCACAATACCAAATGCAAGGATTATTATTATTAGGTATGGTTTAATTGTTTTCTGCAAATAATTGTCTGCCTCGGGGTGATTATGAAATGTCGAACACTTCGCGCTTGGATTTTTGTTTTAAAAAATCAACTAATATTCACATTAGGCACTGAAGGAGTTAATAAGCAGTTCCATTCAAATACTCTGTAGCCTTCAGTGACCAAAGATTATAACCTTGTCCTCTGGACTTTTCTTACTGTAGTTGCAGTTGGAGCTACTCACTCTGAACCAACCTCAGGGAATCGCGGACACATTGTTCCACTCAAGCTTGAGGCTTTCGTGTGATCTTTTTCACGAAAAAAGAGCACATTGGCTGAGGCGTGTAAGTAATGCTAAAATTCTTGCCTTAATCACAACTTCAAGTTTTAATGAGTTGATGTCAAATGCGTTAGCAAACAATGCAGGAATGTTACCATACAAAAGAGGTCAATATTTGTGTAATTTGTTGATGTGTATTCATGTGGGGGGAAAGCAACAACAACAAGATTACATTTGTACAGCAGAGCCTTTCACGTCGGGAGGACGTCCCAAGGCGCTGGACAATGTACAGCATTTCAGACCCAAGCTGGAGTCAGGGAGGGAGAAGGGAGGGGAGGGGAAGGGGGGGTGACCGATGGCATGGTCGAAGAGAAGGGTCTTGAGGCAGGACTTGAAGGAGGCTAAGGAGGGGGCGAATGTTTACATTAAGCAGTGTGAATGTTTACAGTTATTCTGGTAAAAGGACTGGTTTCCCTAGTTGCTAACCAGGATTTTATTTCTGATTTAAAGGGTTTTGATAAATAAGAAAAGTGGGTAAGTAGCTGCAGCATTAGGTTACTTTGATTCCTCAAATATTTTTTTCAGTGGCTCAAACCCCCAGCTTTCCCCAGATGGGCCTCATACACGAGAGTTACAGAATGCCATGGTTACTGCTCTGAGAATGGGAGCATTTTCAAAGAAACCAGATCCATCCTTGTGCTGTGTATACCATTAGCGGTCGGGCTTTCAGCTTCTCTGCCCCCACCCTTTGGAACTCCATCCCCCAGTCCTTTTGTCTTACACCCTCGCTTGCCTCCGAAGTATGTCTCAAGACCCTCTTCTTTGAGTGAGGCACCTCTACAAAAGGGCCATTAGTTTCAATCGCCTTCGATGTTTGTACTCAGTAAAGTGAGGAATGTTAGTGATGGAAAATTGAATACTTTCAAATTTCAGGCATACATAGTAACTCTGGTTTGGCAAAGATAAAATGCCTACAGACTCAGTTTCTTTAAACATGATTCTCAAGATAACTCAAACCCGTAAAAATTCCCCCATCATCCTAATGATATTCTACTTACCAACCTGACTGCTCCCTTCACTCAGTGAACACTGGCTTGCATCGTATAGCTTCATGTCGGTGGGTAGCCTTTCAGACATTCTGACTTGCTCTCTGGGACACCCTCCCCTCTTACAATAATAATAATAATAATAATCCTTGCATTTGATATAGCGCTTTTCACGTCGGGAGGACGTCCCAAAGCGCTTCACAGAACACACTGTAAAGTGAATTGACTGTATATTTGTGGGCGAACGCGGCAGCCAATTGCGCACAGCAATGTCCCACAAACAGTCGTAGATTGAAAATGACCAATTTATTATTGTTTTTTTTTTTTGGAGGGATTATTATTAGGCGTGTGGAGTAAGGAAATTTGCCCAAGGTATCTCTCAAAATGTACCTCTTTGACCGCACTTTCGGTCATCTTTTCCCTGACACCTGCGGAAACACCATGCTTCAGAGAGTCCACACCAAACAAATTAACAATTAATATAATTGAAGGAATAATATGATTCAATTAAGAGCTCTTGACCGTTAGGTAGCAGAGAGTGAGCGAGAGAAATAACTAGTGAAGGGGCAGTTTTCTTTCATTCAGCACGCACTTCCTCTCCCAACCCCCTAAACCCATATTAGCAATTTACTTTTTTTCATATATTAAATCCACATTTCTGAAGTGTGCATCTTCCATAAAATAAGATCAATTGAACAGTGTGCATGTCATTGGTCTTCTAGATATCTGTCAGTCTCTTTTTGGCTCTCTGTCAGGAATGTAGTTGTACTATTGTTAGATATCAAAAAGGTCACCCAGCATCCCAGCACCCAGAGTGCTAACATCTGTTAAGCCAAGTATATTCAAACAAAAATACCATTGAAGCGCGCTTATTTCAGCAGTTAACCGTCTAGACCGAGTGCTATGAGTCCGGAACAGGGTTCTTTCTTAGTTGTTTCAGTTATTCAGGCTTTCGATCTTCCATCACCGTCTGTTGGCACCGTTCCGGACTGCTTTCCACTTCTCTTTTTCGGCTACTTATAGTTAGTCGCCTGACTTGCCATTACATCCCGTATTTACATATCCAGTCACTTTGTATTTTACCTAGCCTTATTCGGCGGTTTGTCGACCAACCACCTTGTCCTTCCTAGGGCCCCTCTACCCACGTCTGATACAGTCACGTACTCAGGTCAATCAATCATTTGGCTTGGTGCCAGCCTGACTGAGTCTCCACGAGGTCTTCCCTTTTTCCTGTCTAAGATAGGAGATTGATCAGTTTAGGGCTGTATCTGGTGCTTGTTATTTTATTATGCGGAATCATTAATACATTCCTTTTAAGTGACTGGTTATTTCTTATCAGTATCCCGGGATGGTACCAAGGTCCTCTAGTTTAAGCAACTTGCTCATTAGTTGCTATTTTTGAGGGTTGCCTTCTGTCGCTTGGCAGGCCCTGTCAGAATCTAGCGACTTACTGCTCAGTCGAGATCCTGTGTCGACTGGTACCTTGGACCGTTACCTCTGTGGGCTTGTTGTTATTTACTGATAAGAGGTGACCCTCTGCCTTTTTCCAAAGCTGTCTTGTTATTCTTTCAAAAACAGAGAAAAACAGATGTGTCCTATCCCATGACTGTCAGTACTTTCCCCATTCTACATTTGTTTAATGTTTCATTATTATTAGACGACAACTTCTATAATCTAACTGTCCCCACCTTGAGACCAAAATAATGATAATAATGAGGTCTCACAAATACACCAAGATCAATAAAGCAAAAAAAATAAACAACATAACGACACAATCATTATTAGACTACAACTTCTATAATCTTAACACTATCAATAAAATGTCTAAGCAGACGCTCAGTTAGCACAATTGGCTGCTGCGTTTTCGCCCACAAATATACAGTCAATTCATTTTACAGTCTATTCTGTGAAGCGCTTTGAGATGTCTAGAAGATGTGAAAAGCACTATATCAAATGCAAGGAATATTATATTATTATGAGATGAAGACGGCCTCCGATCACCACTTCATCTCCTTCACCACCTCCACCCCACTCCTCACCTCCACCAGACCCACCACCATCTTCTACCGCCCAGGAAGAAGTTACCCCCACAATCCGTAACCGCTGCCTTAGAGTCCTCTCCCTCTGGCCTTCAACCTCACTGACCCCTCTTCTTCTCTCACCCTCCTCCACAAGACCCTCTCCCCCACACTCGACACTCTTGCCCCCATCACCTCCCGTACTGTCTCCAACTCTTGCTCCTCCCCCTGGTTCACCACCCACCTCCGCTCACTGAAAAGCCAGGTGTGGGCCGCTGAACGCACCTGCCTCAAATCTGGCCTAACGGTCCACCGACAAATCTGGCTGGACCTCCTCAAAATCTACCGCTCCACTCTAGCCTCGGCCAAGTCGTCCTTCTACTCCAGGATAATCCTGGAGGCGAAGAACAACCCCAGGCTTCTGTTCTCTACCACATCCCGACTCCTCCGTCCCCCCCGCCACCCCGCGCAGGTCATCTCCTCCAACCTTCACTGCGAGGAGATGCTGGATTTCCTTGAATCCAAAATCAAGGGAATCCGCTCCGCGGTCACTTCCCCTCCAACCTCCACCCACCCCCTCCCTCCCACACTCCGACTCCTACCCATCCTCCCCTGCACACCTTCGAACCCGTTTCCCCACCCTCTGTCACCAAACTCATCCTATCCCTGAAACCCACCACCTGCTCCCTTGACCCCATCCCCACTCCACTCCTTATCTCCCAGCTCCACTTTCTTGCCCCACATATCACCGACATCATCAACCTGTCCCTCTCCTCTGGCTCTGTCCCCATTCCCTTAAAAACTGCCACCATCACTCCCACTCTGAAAAAACCCTCCCTTGATGTGTCGCAGCTATCAAGCTACCGGCCCATTTCTTACCTCCCCTTCCTGTCCAAGGTCCTTGAAAACGTTGTCGCCTCCCAACTGCGCTCTTTCCTCTCCAACCATTCACTATTCGAACCGCTTCAGTCGGGTTTCCGTGCTGCCCATAGCACAGAAACTGCCCTGGTCAAGGTCACCAATGACCATCTGCGACCTTCTTGACCATCTGCGACCAGGGCTCCCTCTGCCTCCTCGTCTTCCTCGACCTATCGGCCGCATTCGATACGGTCGACTACGCTATCCTCCTCCACCGCTTGTCCTCCCACCTCAACCTTCAAGGCCCTGTCCTTGAGTGGTTTAGGTCGTACCTCTCCCACCGTCTTCATTTTGTTTCCACAAACGGCTTTTCCTCCACCCCCCGCACTGTCTCGTGCGGTGTCCCTCAGGGCTCTGTCCTCGGTCCCCTCCTCTTCACCCTCTATATGCTCCCCCTTGGTGACATCATCCGCAGACATGGGTTAACTTCCACATGTATGCGGATGACACCCAACTCTACCTTTCCTCCTCTACCTTCAACTCCATCACCACCGATGTCCTGACAGCTGCCTGTCCGACATCGAGTCCTGGACGAGAGACAACTTTCTCCAGCTCAAAGTGCGCAAAACTGAGGCCCTCCTGGTTGGCTCACGTCAGCGCCTCCGCACCTCAGGCGCTGACAGCATCAGCATCCAAGGCTGCACTCTCCACCTCTCAAAGCCAGTCAGGAACCTCGGTGTTCTGTTCGACCCTGAGCTGTCCTTTCTTCCCCACATCCGCGCCACAACTGGCACCGCCTTCCATCACCTGCGAAACATCGCCAGACTACGGCACTACCTCACCCCTCACGCTGCTGAAACTCTGGTCCACGCCTTTGTCACCTCAAGGCTGGACTATGGGAACTCTCTCCTCGCCGGCCTTCCCGCCACCTCCCTCCACAAGCTGCAGGTCATTCAGAACTCTGCAGCTCGTGTACTGTCCCGCACCAGGCTTCGGGACCACATCACTCCCACCCTCGCTCGCCTCCACTGGCTCCCCATCCCCCAGAGGGTCAAATTCAAGATCCTCATCCTCAACTACAAGGCCATTCACGGCCTTGCTCCCTCCTACCTCTCCGACCTACTATGCCCCTACTTACCTGCCCGTACCCTCCGTTCCTCTGGCTCCGGTCTGCTCACCATCCCCCGCCCCAACCGCCCTACCATCGGTGGCCGGGCCTTCAGCCTCTCAGCCCCGAGGCTCTGGAACTCTATCCCCCAGTGCCTTCGCCGCCTCCTCCCTTTCCTCCTTCAAGGCCGGTCTCAAGACCTTTCTCTTTGACCGTGCCTTCAGCTCCCCTCTCGACTCTCTACCCCTCCTCGCTCCCTCCCTTCCCTCCCCTCACCCTGACCATTTCCCCCCTGCTCGGGTCCTGACCCAACTGTCCAGCGCCTTGGGACGTCCTCCCGACGTGAAAGGCGCTCTATAAATGGAATCTTCTTGTTGTTGTTATTATAAATATTTAGCTAAAGAACCCAGTGGTAAATTAGTAAGTGGATCTCAGTGTACAATGCTTTAGCAGTTTGAAAATAAACACAGGAAGACTGTTTGCAATACAATACAATTTACATTTATATAGCGATCTGCAGGCTCATCAATGCTGTGAGAAAGGATAAAGTTACAGACCTAAACTTTAATCACAGGCTTTCCTGAAGCAGCATAGGCTCACATACATGGGCTGTGTTGGCCTTCTCTGGAGGAATTCTCTCATGCGGCCGATATCAAAATTGTTAAAATCTATGTCTTAAGTATTATTAAATTCTGTTCCTCTATTATTCTTGTGATGGTATTGGACTGTTAAGTGCTCCGGGAAGCTGCCCCGTGTGACAGGCGTTATTTGAATGCAAGTTGTTATTGTTGTTATTGAATTAACCCCTTAATCAGTCTGAACAATTAATGCAAAGAGCACAACATCTGAGCCCATGACATCAGTGGAACTTACCAGGATAGCTATATCAGCTTGACAATAACATTGAAATGGGTGCATTCAGGACTATGATTCTTTATTGTTAATGGAGGGATTAGTTATGGTCAAAAGTCTAAGCAGTTTTTTACTTTAAATAACTGAGGCTGTGTGTTTACTTTATTAATAATAATAATAATTGCATTTGATATAGCACCTTATCACATTGTTGGGATGTCTCAAAGCACTTCACAATATATTGTAAAGTGAATTGACTGTATATTTTGTGGGTGAAATGCAGCAGCCAATTGCACACAGCAGTGTCCCACAAAGCAGTTGTGGATTGAGTGACCAAATTTATTTTTAAGGGATTATTATGGCCGGATCGTGATCCGCCAACTGACTAACAACCTATTTACTGCAAGGTATACAGAGGCATTTGGAGTAAGGAAACTTACGTAAGGTTTCGCTCTGCACTGGATTTGAACTCTCGCTTGCAGGGTGAGTGCTCTAACCAATACACTGAAGAGCTCGGGCATGGTTTGAGTTAGTGAATAACTTTGATGCTTGTGAAACCAGAGGCAACTTTGAGGTCAAATGAAAAGGGCGAGCTTTGTTTTTTATACACTCGCTTATCCAGTCAAAACTCTACTCCCAGGTTTTTGGGATGGGTTTTAGGAAAGGAATGTTAGAGAATTGAAAAAGGAGAAATTTGACGATCCAAGCTTAATGTGTGACTGCGCACTCTGCAGTGTTTTCAAGTTTCCTCTGTACTTTAATGGACTAAAGGGAGCAATCAAAGAGAGTGGTAACAAATAAGCAAAAGCAACAACAACTTGCATTCGTATAGTGCCCTTCACGCAGGGTAGCATCCTGAAGTGCTTCATGTGTACTGTCGTTAGTTTCTTATCTATTTGAGTACAATAGTAATTAGGTAATTCCTCCCAATCCTCTCCCTCACCCAGAAATGCCACCTCTTGTACTGTTGTCAAGAGAATGAGAAGCAAGGTTGCCACAAATGAAAATACGTTTGTGGTCCAAAGGCAACCAAATACAAGCCCAATATTATGCGTCGCCTATTAGGATTATTGTAGGAGTAGCAGAGTGGCCAATTTAGATTAATGCGTTTGAAACTGTTTGAGAAAATCGTCTACAAAGGTGACCAAAAAAAGGTTGGCAAGTTTAAATGAATAAATTTAAAGGGTAGACACTCATCGAAAGCTGTTTCTTCACGCACAGTGCAACAAGAACTCGCTCAATCTGGCCACATCAGTGAAAAGCTGTACTATGTCCTACATCCTGTATCACACCTCACACTCCGTATCACACCTCACACTCTGTACTACGTTACCACATCATAGGATTGGGTTCAGGTGAATAACCTTTAAGGCTAGTACACTACACAAGGGGACTTGGGGCCCTGGAAGGACCATGCTGGACTGCTATTGGGTTAAATTCAACAAATTAGTAGCCAGGGAGAGTCGTGTGGAATACTTCTAACAGCTGTCTGATTTCAGGTCTATCTCTGGTCCCCACCATGTTTTGGTACCTGATAGTAATCCTCATCATCGCACCAATAATCACATTGATGTTGGAGAAGAAACCAAAGAAAAAGTGTGACATCTACACTCAACCTGGGCCATTCTACTACCTGAAATTCATCACAATTTACCTGATATTGCGATTAAGACGGGTACGTAAATCTTATTTAATGAAAACGATTGGGCTGCTCAGTGGCGTGGTGTGGACAGGTTGCCCCTGAGCCAGCGAGTGTAGATTTTGAGGTTCAGCGCTACCTGCCACTGAGACACCAGGCCATATGAGCAATGGGTTTCTGGCAAACACGTGGTCACTTGATTTCAGTAGAGAAGATTAGACAGCGGCATATTGGTCATGAAGTTTAATAACTGCTGTCTGAATCTCGAGCAAGCTATTCAAACTCATTATGTTAGTATCGCTATAGGATGAAAATGGATTTAATGTTTTTAGAGCACGAGCAACATTTGGTTAAACTGATTCTGTAATTGTAGTCTAAAGCCGCTGAATGTGTCGTGCCAGGGTCAGAATTTAAAAATTATAATGTAAGGAACGTCCCAGCGATTTGGGATGTCCTCCCGACTTGAAAGGCCTATACAAATCTAATTTATTATGGTTGTTGTTGTTTATGTGGGCACAACCTTTCATTCCTCCTCCTTCGTCTTTTTGCTGCCAGTGGAGGGGCCAGCAGGAGAATGTGGCACAGGGTGTAACAGCCGGCTATGGGCAGCAATCCCGCAACACCCCAGCACAAATGGACTGCATTCAGCCTCTGTCCAGCCATCCAAAGGTCTGAGCTATTGCATTTTGTTCCCTGCTGATACTATCTTTGTCTGCTGTCGTTTGTCATTTTAAGCCATGGTGGGCTGAATGGCCTCTTTGATGTAGGATGTGATGTTGGATTGTATGATATGTGCTCCAAGACACTGCCCTTCGTGTAGAGCGCTTTATGATTGCAAGTTGTTCTTTCTGCTGCTCTCGCGTCATTAGTCACGGACAGTGCATGCAGAAGTTTGATCATCTTTTAACAAAAACAGAAGTCGCTGGGAACACTCAGCAGGTCAGGCAGCACCTATGGAGAAAGGAAAGTGAGTCACCGTTTCGGGTCCACGACCCTTCGTCAGAAATGGGGCATGTTGGGAGGGAGAAACGTTTAAGGGTTAACAGAGAGGGGAGAGGCAGAACAAGGAAGACAAGGGAGAAAATGGAGTAGAGGACAGGGGATGATGAGTTAAAGAGGTGTTAATGATGCAAAACAAGAGGGATGGGGGAAAGAATTGCAACAAAATAGGCAGACCAGAAAAAGAAAAGGTGTGTCTGAGACCAAGATGATGTGGTAATGGTCACGGGAGAAGGAGAGGGGGAAGGTGAGGTGTTGTGGTCTGAAATTGTTGAAATCAATATTGAGGCCAGAGGGCTGTAAGGTCTGTTGCAATCCCCCCTTTGTTTTGCATCATTAACACCTTTTTTAACCCATCATCCCCTGCCCTCTACCCCATTTTCTCCTGCCTTCCTTGCTCTGCCTCCCCCCTTCTCTGTTAGCCCTTAAAAGCCTCTCCCTCCCAACCTGCCCCAGTTCTGACGAAGGGTCGTGGACCCGAAGCTTTGACTCACTTTCCTTTCTCCATGGATACTGCCTGACCTGTTGAGTGTTCCCAGCGACTTCTGTTTTTGTTTTCAGATTTCCAGCATCTGCAGTATTTTGTGTTTTGTTTGATTATCTTTTGTTAGTTTGCATATTACTACTTGCTTGTGCACAAATTGACTTCTGTGTCTACAATCCTACAGTCACTACATTTAACAGTAATTACTGTAATCCACTTTGGCAGGAGATCTTCCGGTCTCCTGCCATTCAACTCACACACCCATTCACAGTCTGACCTCTCCATCCATGGTCTCCTACACTGTTCCAATGATCCACAGCGAAAGCTTCAGGTACATCTTATCTATCTGCTCGGGACCCTACAGCCCTCTGGCCTCAATATCGATTTCAGCCACTTCAGACCATAACAGCTCACCTTCCTGGGGCTATGTCTCGGAGCGCTGCACAGGGATGGGGTTGGACCCCGAGGTAGAGGGGGAGGTGGCCACTGGTGCATTTGATGAGGTAGGATTTGAGGCACCACCTAAAACTAGAGCTAAAGTCCTGTAGCTCAGTGGTTAGAGCACTCGCTTTGCAAGTGAGAGACCTGAGTTCAATTCCAGGCAGAGGGCGATACCTTGGGCAAGTTTCCTTACTCCACACAGAGCCTAATAATAATCCCTCCAAAACCAAAAACAATAATAAATTGGTCATTTTCACTCTACGACTGTTTGTGGGACATTGCTGTGCGCAATTGGCTGCCGCGTTCGCCCACAATTATACAGTCAATACACTTTACAGTGTTTTCTGTGAAGCGCTTTGGGACGTCCTCCCGACTTGAAAAGCGCTATATCAAATGCAAGGATTATTATTATTATTAGGATTATGAAAAGAGCTAACAGAAGAGTTTTCTTGTTATCATTACAATCATCACCCCAGTCACCAGTCAATCTTTGCCTCTCTCTAGTGTGTTGCCTGTTGTGCACCATTAAAGCCCCTTCTTCCCAGTTTTGTTTCAACACCTCCCACTTTTGCTGTACAACCCCCCCCCTTTTGTTTTACACCACTATAATCTCTTTAGCCCATCAACTAATACATTCTCTTCTTTGTCTTCCTTTGTGTCTTCTTTGTCGTCCTTGTCCTGACTCCCCCACTCAACTTGTCCTTAAAAACCTCTCCCTCTCAACATACCCCAGTTCTAATGAAGAGTCGTGGACCCGAAGCTTTGGCTCACTTTCCTTTCTCCATAGATGCTGCCTGACCTGCTGAGTTTTCCCAGCTCTCTGTTTTTGTTTCAGATTCCAGCATCTGCAGTATTTTGTGTTTTGTTCAGAGAATAAGTTACATCACCACATTTGGTAACAGAGCCTTCAGATCCCCCACCTCTAATCTGTACCTCCGCCCCTTCATCTCGCCCCCTCTATTTCTAGTTTTAGGTGGTGCCTCAAATCCTACCTCATCGAATGCACCTGTGGCCACCTCCCCCTCTCCCTCGGGGTCCAACCCCATCCCTGTGCAACGCTCTGAGACATAGCCCCAGGTGAAGGGAGCAATATGAATGCAAGTTGGCGTTGGAGTATACCTGCCCTTTTTCTACATTGCTAAATCCAGGTTCATCTGTCCACGGCTAATATTGTTAGCCATGCATTTTTAATATGTTCAATTGTTGAATTCAGGTACATCTCATTTGCAAACTCATTTGGAATTGTTATGTTAATTATCCCCGTTGTCACAGCCTTAATCAGACAGAGTTAAAACGCAAGTAATATTATGCAGGAAGCACCCGATTTAAAAAAAAACTTTTGCACCAAAATTCACATTGAGTGCTTTTTGCAAATAGTCACAAGAAAAAGATGACTCCACAATGGCAAGAAATTGCAAACACTTGTTTGTAATTCTTCTTCTCCAATCTCCACACCTCCTCCCTTCTCTCCTGAAGGCAATGACTCACACTTGCAATTGTCACAAACTATTTCATGGGCGCTGGATGTTGAAATGACTGCTCCTTATTTGGTAGGTTACCGTGGGTGAGCATTGCCTCATGATGCTGTCATCTGTGTGAGTGCTTTAAGGAGGAGGGTTTGTCCTTGAAAGTCACATGGTTTGGAGTTTAAGAAAATGATCTTAAAATTTAAGATCGCACAGAATAAGAACTACAGAAAACTGGCTTCCATATTACAATAACAACAAAATTACATTTATTTAATGCCTTTCACGTCTGGAGGACGTCCCAATGCACTGGACAGTCAAGGTTTTACACTGTACTGGGGGTTGGATCCAAGAGGATTGGAGGATTAGGGGTTGGTTGGGAGGGTGGCCAAAAGCAGGACAAAACGGGAAAGCCTTGAGACAGGCCCTGAAGGAGGCGGGGATTGGGTGATGCGGAGGGAACTCCGCGGGATGGAGTTCCAGAGAATGAGGGCAGAAAAACTGAAGGTCCGTCAACTAATGGTGGAGGGGGCACGGCAGGGGACATGAAGCAGGTCAGTGCCTGCCAAGTGTCAGGAGTGGGCAGGTTGCTATGGTGGTAAGATTGAATTTAAGAATCCTGGTTGGCACTTCACCTCTATCACAACAAGGGTTTCACAGTGAATACCCATTTACACACACAGAGATACATACACTCACACACACACACACACACACTGCCCAACAGTGCTCGGGCTGTAAAGCTATTGCATTGCTGAATGGGGACATCCTGTGGCCATGATGTGTAAATCAGACGGAATCCGACAAGGCTCCACCACCTTCCCTGTCACGACCTGCTCAGACATCGCTTACAGCAGATTTTTGGCCGTTTGCGTCAAAGCCTTTTCTTCTTCACAAGGAAATTGTTTACAACCCACTGCAAGTGATCATTGCAAATACATTTTTGAAAAATGATTCATTACTTATCTGACAATGCAGTGTTCTAGAAGTAAATCAATAAATTGTTTGCTTATTCCATCTTTTTAACAAAAATTGTAAATTATATTTTTTAGGTTCTGTATGAAGTGTGATACCTGGAATGGCTGCTTTTCAGCCTTCCCATTTCCTGAATATTACAAGGAGGGGAAACCCCTTTTTGCAGAAATGGGAACAAAAATAAGGAAACTGAGAAATCAAGGAGAGAAAAAATACAGGAAGTTCATCAGTGAAAAATGTGTGATTTACACCAAATCTGTGATTCTGACAATATATTAATCCATACATTTGATATATTGCCTTATCACATCTAAGCATCTCAAATTGTTCCACGCATTTTTTCTGTAAAGTGTAGTGACTGTGTATTTGTAGGTGATCGTGGCTGCCAATTTGTGTACAGAAGTGTTCTAGAAACAGAAATGAAGTGAGTGACCAATTGTACCCGGGGGATTGTGTGCCAGGAGAAACTCCCTTTTCTTTTTGAATAGTGTCATGGGATCTTTAACAATCACCTGAACAGGAATAATGTCTCATTTGAAGGTTATTTGACTGTGCTTAAAACAGTTCACTATGCACAGTACTGTGCAATACAGTTCACATTTATGTGGCTCCTTTCACATCGGTAGGACGTTCCAAAGCACAGCTCACACTGTGAATGTGATTTTCTTGTTTCGCCATTTATTTTATGGTTACTAGCAATCTGCCGGTGAGCCAGCAGATTGTCTAGCAATAAAATTTTAATAGCCCAAATCTTCTGTACCCACTGCTGATACATTCCCCCAAATTATACAAAATATTGGTTAGAAATAAATAACCCTTTGGGGTGGGAGACAGTGTTTTGATGATTTTTACACGAGCGAATATTCATTCACCCACAAACCTCAGAACGCCAAAGCTGTGTTACGGGAGAATAGCTGTAACTGTTAGGGAGAAAATGGTCCTTGCACTAACTCTTATATGAGACGGGCACAGAAAGGAGAGGATAACATTGTAATAATAATCCTTACATTTACTATAGAGCCTTTCACATCGGGAGGATGTGTTACAGTGCTTCACAGGATGTACTGTTGACTGATGTGTTGGAGATGAATCCCCAGTAGACTCGAACGCTTTTCGACCACATGGCTGCAGTTATTCACAATTGATTGGTTCTGCTTCCATGTTCCAGGCAATCGATGCAGTTTACTTCAGTGCAGCCAATGAGAATGGCTGCTACCTGGTGGGAGCCATTGCACGAAGGCCAGCCAAAATGATCAACGGCTTCCTCTACATTAAGGTTTGTGTACACGGGTCATTCTGCTCTTCTGTTCTTACTTTGCACAGTTATAATAAGGTGTGTTGTGTTGCAAGGCATCCCTTTCCTGGCAGCCCAAAGAAAATGATGACATGGTGAAATTTTGTCTGGTGTTTCACACGGTGGTAATGAATGCAATGATCGCGGGCCGTGACAGCAAGAGAAGTCCATGGAGAACTGGCCCAGCCTTGGGCCATGGACTCACATAGTTTGATCTAAGATGACACTCCAGTGAGATCCTGTCTGCCTCTTCAGGTGGAGATTGAAGATCCCATGACACTATTCAAAAAGGAAAAGGAGTTTCTTCCAGTGTCCTGGCCAATAATCCTTCAAATAAAATTGGTCACTCCATAGCCATTTGTGGACATTGCTGTGTCTAATGCACCTTTGTGGATTTGACCGGTTGAGGTTCACACCAGCAATTGACGTAATATTTAAATATAGTACATGTCAGGATACCATAATCAGGAAGGTGTGCTGACTGCTTGTATCTCTGGTTGTTCATCTCTGTGTCTTGCCCCGTCTGCACTTTGCAGTTGCCTGAGACAGGGCTACTGCTATCCCCTCGGCTGCCCGACACGCTGATGTCTACACATGAGGAGGCCTTCGGGGCTGAGGGCCTGCTCTTCCAGCCGGTGGAAGCCATGAGGAAATGGAAGCTCACTTACGATGGGGCTATGAGGTCAGCAAGTTACAGTCGCTTAGAAAGAATTCACAAAAGCAAAGAGCAGGCTGATTTTTCCTTCCTTGAACCTAAGGAAGGCCAGGACAAATATTGTCTCTCAATGAAGCTGAGACCAGCACGGCTTGGGATTTGATTCAGTAAACTTGTGGCCCATATGTTGTTGCTCTATCCACTACACAATCAAAGCTGGCAATATGCAGCGAGGTTGCCCATATCATACCCTCAAACAATCCTTATTTTTTTTAAAGTGTTATTATTTTCTCCCATCTCTTTTTTTTGATCAGTTGCAGAAATTCATCACCATGCTTAAGAGCATCCAAACCAAACGGAGAATTCCAAACCAAACTGGCTGTTCATGAAGAGGTTTAGTTGTCTATTCATGTGGAGCAGGGCAGAGGGTGGCTTTTCACATAGTGGTTCAGTGGATAACTGGGTTGTGTGTTGTGTTGCTGTGCCATACCGGTCAGCAAGGTCTGCTTTGACCTTTGTCCTGTGCCTAAATTGGTGGTTCCCAGCCAGAGTAGTGGTAGGAGCAATATCACTGGTCTAGGGTGGGACGAGGAAAAATAGCCTACGTTCCTGCTCTGCATTGCTACCCAGTGCACATCTGGAAAGGACAAGAGTCGCTATTGTGTGCTGCTGAGTGAAAATTCTTTAATGAATAAGTAATACAATCTAGTAAGTGTCTATTTGTGGACTAAGAGCCTATAAGTGGAGTCCCGTAGCGTATTGGGTTAGCACACATGCCTCGAAAGTGAGAGGACCTGGGTTTGATTCCCGAGCAGGGTGAAACCTTAGGCGTGTTTCCTTACACCACATACCTCTGTTTATCTAGCAGTAAGTAGTAACCTAGTTGTTAGTTTGGTGGTAATAATCCCTCCCCTGAAAAAGTATGATCACTTAATCCACGACTGTTTGTGGGACACTGCTGTGTGCAATTACCTACTGCATTTGACCACAAAATACACAGTCAATTCACTTTACAATATTTTCCATGAAACGCTTTGGGACGTCTCAATGAAGTGATAAGGTGCGATATCAAATGCAAAGATTATTATTATTATTATTTCTAACTGGATCCTTTAATAAGGAACTCTGAGTACTGCCTCTGTCTGGCAGGAAGTACATCTCACCAATCTACTGGTATTCCGCTCCTAAAGTACATTGTTTGGAGTGTAATTCTCGTCAGTCAGTGTGATACGCTGCTGGTTTCCCAATCCGATTAGGAATCACCAGATTACGAGACCACCACTGACAGTCATTGGTCTGAGGTTTATAACAGGGGAACTTGAAACGTCTGATTCTCATAGTTGGTGTGGTCTCAATATCAGGATGTTGTGTTTCCAAAAAGGCTGGATAAAGGAGACCAATTGGTGCACGTGTGCATGAACCTAGACTGGGAAAGTAAGTTGGACTACTTTGATTTTGATACGGACATGCATTCCATCGCACTCGCAAAGGCCATCGCTAGGGAACAGTGGTCCAAGGAGTTTTTTAAAAAGCTTGAAGAGTAAGTGAAATTAAAAACATTTCAGACTTCATATTCAGTTTTATAATCATCAAACTATAATTGTATTTTTCTCTGGCAGTTTTTTTTAGAAAATGTCATACAATTCTATCCAGTAGCTCTGGCTTTATAATGTTTTATTTTCTCTCTCTGCTCAGTGTTAAATTTGACTTTAATTGTAGCATTAGGTCATTGTTAATACTGAGCTATCTCCTGTGGTTACAATTATCCGTTGAATAACTCCTGTCTATGCATTAGTCTCCACCAGACTCACCATGAACAGTTTGGAAAAATCACTGGTACAATTCAGATCGATGGGTTTGGTTGTCATAAAGTTACCTTGGATTCAATGAGGGACCATTCTTTTGGTGAGTGTTACAGGCTGTCTAATCTTGTACTGATCTTCTCCCACCTCAACTAAAATCGTATACTGATCTCCCTCCGCTTTGCCCCCCTTCTTCCGCCTTCAGTACCTTATTACCTATCCCTTTGACTGTGCTTTCAGCTACCTTTCCCCTCTCCTGATCTCTCCCACCCCCTCTCGAACTCCAGAGCTCGGACTCCCGTTGTGAAGCGCTTTGAGATATCCTCTGAATGTGAAGGGCGCCGTAAATTATCATTGTTATTGATAACGCATTTGATTTCTGTTTCTATGAGAATGATGGATGGCAAATTGCAAATAATTTGTCAGTTGTCGTTTTTTTTCACAAAAAGCTAACCAAAGTTGACTGCAATGACAACTCAGTGGTGAAGTGGTAGAATAACATAACATTGATCTAAGCAGTGATGATGTATGTGCACACTCTTGGGAATATGGTGTGTGGGACCATATATTGAGTACTTCTCCGTCATGCAGTAGGTATATATATATTTATTTTTATATATATATATATAAAAAACACAAAATACTGCAGATGCTGGAAATCTGAAAACAAAAACAGTTATTTATATATATATAAATAAATCTTGTCGCTGCAGTTGCTCTATTCCTTCAGTAATTGATTTTAGGTTTTAGATATTTTTCATCACAACTGTAATAAATATGATAGCTGTTCTGTTAATAAGAAAGATTGTCTTATTTGCTCATCTCATCGGGTGCTTGTTATTTTGCAATATGTTTCGCCCACAAAATACACCAGCAATCCACTTTATAGTATTACCCGTGAAGGGTTTTGACATGTCTCAATGATGTGATAAGATTCTATATCAAATGCAAGAATTATTACTATTATTGTTATTTGTAACCTTGGTTGCTCAGGTCCACTTCCCAGGCCTCTGAGTGACTGCATCAGAAATGTGAACACTTTCTCACTCTCTTACTAGAGAAATGATGCAGAGACTCTAAACGTAGGAGGGAACACAGTCTATTTTTTAAGTAATTAAAAATATATAATTTCATGTCACTTTTATAAATAATTGTTGAAAGTACATTTTCCATTAAAACTTTCACCTTTGTATTTCCCTTTTATTTTTTTTCTCTTTCTCTTTGTGTTCTTCTTTGTTTACCTTTCCTTTCATCTCCATTCCCCCAAACCCCACCCCTTCTCTCACTGGCCCTGCCCTACATTGTAGGAGATCATCGGGATTGGAAGTACTTCCATCGTTATGGTTTCCATATGGGCACACTGAATGATGGGACCAGTTTCAACATAGGAATTGTCTCGCAGAGCAATCTGCTCACTGTGTAAGTGCAGTTGGTGAAAGACATTGTAGACAATTGCTACTGATGCATAATAACTCGAGCCTGGTTTAACTTGTCACTAACACTTACGTCAATCATGCTGTCAATAACCCAGCCACATTTATTCATACAGTATATTTATAAATATGCCTAACTGGCCACTCCGGATAACTCAACACGGAACCCTTTTCCCTTGGAGTGACGAGTTATCAGGAGTTCACTGTGGAAGCTGAACGGAGTTGAGATATTATCAGGACTCATGATATTATCAGATAGTATCAGGCCACAAGATATCATGTTACGGGCTGTATTACAATGCAATACAACTGAGACCCAGCCCCAACCCTAACTAGATAATGAGGGAATCAGACACAGAGAGCAACCTCCTTCCTCCCTCTCCCTCTCTCCCCTTGTCAAATTTAAGGTTGGATTATTTTCTATTTATGTAACAAAAAAAATTTCGAACACCATTGAGTTATTCTGAAGTCTCAGTCACAGCAAGTTATGGTTCAAAGTGTTAATGTCAGTGTTGCGATATTCGCATTGCAGGCAATGTCGGTATCACAAGTGGAAGGTGTGTAGATATTGAGGTGTCAGTCAGCCTGGCTCGGTTGGTAGTATTCTCGCTTCTGAGTCAGAAGCTGTGTGTTCAAGCCCCACGTCAGGACTTTGAACTCATAGTCTTGGCCATATTGACTTCAATGCAATGCAAAGTCTGTTGTATTGTTTGACGTGCAATTGATGTGACCTTAAAGCAAGGTCCCATCTGTTTGCTCAGGTAAATGTTAAAGATCCCATGGCATTCTGATAAAACAGAGAAGGGAGTTTCTCCCGGTGCCTGGCCAACAAATCCTCAAAATAAATTGATTATTTACTTAATGGTTGTTTGTGGGACATTGTCTGTCAAATTCCCTGTAAAATACACAGATACTGCCCTTTGCAGTATGTCTGGTGAAGCATTTTATTTTGGGGTTTCCATGGATGATGGATCGATAATCAGAGGACACAGATTTAATAATAACTTTCCAAAGGGTGTATATGTGAAAAGGAAAAAATTGCAAGGCAATGGGAAAACAGCGGGGGAGTGGGATTAATTTGAATAGCTCTTTCAAAGAGCTGACACAGCCAGGATGGTGTCGAATGGCCTCCTTCTGTGCTGTAAGATTCTATGATTCTACATTTGTTAGCTAGGTACCCGGAAAAACTCAGGAATTGTTGCAGCCGCAGCTCTATTACAAATAACTAAACCTCAGTTGAACGCATTACACTTTTTGTAATCAGTTGGTTTATGATAACAGTGTTTTAGTTTTGTTGTCTTTATTGTTACAGTGGTTAAAAAGGGCCTGTGCCAAGCTCAGTGTGTTGTTTATTGCAGCCTGGAGTTGGGATACCTGTATACCCCCTCAGGTGAAAAGCACCCAGTAAAGTGGTGTGGACTGGATTTAGCATGTCACGGGGAGGGAGGAACCCCACCTTTGGATTATGGATTTGAGTTTGAAGCAGGTAATGAAACATTAAATATGTTTTCCTGTTGCATGGCGTACTGTTTGCAGCACAAATGAAAATGTATTCTACATTTTTAAGTTGTGCTTTTCAGTTGCTAAATGGTCAAGATTTGGAGGATAAACCACTAAATTGCTGGACTGTAATATAAACTTGGCAGTTCATTCACTTCCATTCCCTGTAATTGCTTATCTTGTGTTCAGAGTATTCCAATGTCAGAATGGGTTTATTATTTTACCAGAGGTCACATTAGAGTGTGTACCACATACAGGTGGGTATCCAAAAAATGCGCACATCCTAATTGATCGTTCGTAACACGGACCAGTCAACTGGCAGGCTTCATTTCGGTCCAACCCCACAATCAGAACCGAAATGAAACAAGCCAGTTGATCGATTCACCTTCCGCATGATATCTGATGACAATCAGATATGTGAGAAAACAAAGAACTTTGATTGATAAGCTTCGGATTGTTAAAAACAAATTGTGTACATGGTATTCACAGTGTATGCCAATCTTTTCTGACGGGCAATTTCTTTTTGAGTAACGTCACTTAGCCCCACCCACTCTTGCACAATAGGGGAAAATAATTGAGCAACAAGCTGGCCAGGTAAGCCAGGAAATTCACAGCATAGTGGTTTTCGGCTGTCTGTTACGTGCTGAGTTTTTCATGCATTGGTGGTTAAGTCGTAGAATTCTTGCCTGCCACGTAAAACCTGGGTTTGATTCCAGGCCTTTCACGTAGGAAGGACGTCCTAATTGTTTTACAGGATTTACTGTAAAGTATATTAAGCGACTGTGTCTTTTATAGGACACCCATTAACTGTGATGATATTGCTCCTGCTCTTCACCTGCAGGTGGGAAGCGATACTTTTTGCAGTGTCAGATTTTGGCAAGCCCGGAATTCTATATTGGGATGGAGTGGGAAGCTCGGATAGTGGAGAGACTGGCTACATACACTGTAAATGGTGTGAAAGGCTGGGGGATTTCAGAGTGGCACTACAGGTAACCTTTCCTTTAAATAAATAATGGTCAACTAAGAATGCCAGCATCCTTTTCTACTTGGTAATATTCATCGCAAAAAATAAACTCCTGATGCAGTTTTAATAGATAGGGCTTTTCATGAATTTGCTTATTTCTCAGTTGGTTGTAATGTGTACTCAGTCATATCATTCAAATTGATTTGTCGCAAGATCTTCAAGAAAGTCCAGGTGAGCGTTCAGAATCGTAATGTGACACCGGTGAAATGTCTGGAATGAAAAATATCACACTCGTACATCTTCTCCACCTTTCCCTCTCTTTATGTGGGGAAGAATTTAGGCTCATCCATTGACCATCTAACTGAGATCTTCCATTCACTGTTTAGAGAACAGTACGGTTGTTGATGGTTGCAACCTGGGCCTTACGAAAGGATGGCAGAGTACATTGCAGCTCTAGTTTGTGTCCCTATCTCGCCTTCTGTCTTGTGTGCTGAATCAAGTGAGCCAATCCTCCCAAGCCAACAGAGCCTTGGGACGTCCTCCCGATGTGAAACACTACACAAATGTAATTTTGTATTGTACTGTAATTACACTAACTTAAATAATTATTAATGATCCTTTCATTTGATATAGCGCCTTATCACGTCTTCGATACGTCTCAAAGCGCTTCACAGAATATACTGTAAAGTGAATTGACTGTATATTTTGGGGCTAAATGGGGGAGCAATCGCACATAGCAGTGTCCCACAAACATTCATGGAGTGAGTGACCACATTTTTTTTTATGAATGGACTAGCTGTATCCATTGCAGCTACGCTTGCAACCAAAGGATCCAATATTGAATATAGATTTCAGTGATACCACTCACAAACTATTTAACATGCCATAAACATTGTGTGTACACTTTAAGCAAACTGCTATACATGTGTGATGAGCTTGTTTAGGTCATAGCTCATCAACAATAGGAGATTCCCCCGCCCCCCACCCCAAAAATATACCCTTGATACTCCCCATGAAAGACCTTTCCGATGAGGTATAAATCGATGAGGTATATAACAGCAATTGATGATTGCGTTATTGGCTGTCAGACACACATGCAGTGTGTGAGCTGTGCCGGGATCTCTCTCTCTCTCAGCTCCTGTTGCTTAGTCAGTCTGGGCAGGTTAAAGGCTTCACTTTAACCCTCTCTCCTCCCTCCCTCCTGGCACACTCACTCACTCACTCATTCACAGACACACACTCGCTCATATAACCTTTCCCCTCTCCTCCATCCCTCCCCCAAAAAACCTTCTCTCACTTCCTCATTCTTGCCCTCGAGAGATTATGGGACTCAGCGTATTTTTTTTGGGGGGTGTGGGGGAGCGGAGAGATTTAATTTTAAAAATGTAGCATTGAATTTTTTTACACCGCTCTCTTCCCTCCTTCCCTCTCTCTGTCCCTCTCCCAATGTATTTCTCTGGACGGGTGCTAGGTAAACATAGGTGTGTGGAGTAAGGAAACTTGCCCAACATTTCGTCCTACCCAGGAATCAAACCTAGGTCCTCTCACTTTCAAGGCAAGTGCTCTAACCACTCAGCTACATGTAGTACAGATTGAAGAAGCTATAGAAATATCAAAACTTGTCTGATAGACAAAGATGAGAAAAAATGTATCTCTACTACCATCACTCCATGGCTGTTTGTGGGACACTGCTGTGCCATAACTAGCTGCCGCTTTTTACCCACAAGATACACAGTCAATCCACTTCACAGTATATTCTGTGAAGCACTGAGACGCAACAATGTGATAAGGCGCTATATCGAATGCAAGGATTATTATAACTTCCCTTCACTAAAATGAATCATGAACTAAGATTGAAAATGTTCCAAGATGTGTTCTAACCGCTATATTTTTATGGCTATCAGGCATCATGGAGGAAGACCAGAGAAATACGCTAACAGAAAATAAGACCACGGCCAGATTCAAAATGGTTGGAACAGCAAATGGAATGGAAAAAACTTTAACTTTACTGTGCTTTTTAGTGATGTAATTGTGCTCTTCGTAGAGTGTCTCACGCTCAGCAGATTCGTTCAGTTATAAAGAAACTTTGATTTTGTTTGTGAAGCCTGTAATTAATGCAATAATTTTTTGAGAATTCGTCAAGTCTCATCTGTTACTAAAGTATGTGGAAAATTGCATTGAGAATTGTCTCCTATGTTTTGCTCTTCAACTGCATTTAAGAATAACTTTTCTCCTATGACTTAACCGAAAAAGTAATCCTCGTTTAAAATGCACAGGAAAGCAAGATAATTGACAACCCAAAAAAAGGTTTTGAAATACAAAATCATTGTCTCACTTAGTGGCATCTTTCACTCTGAGTGAACAAATCACTAACTTGCTCAGTTGTATCTTTTAGCCTGAGAGAGCAAAATGGTTGCTCCATACACACACCTGTTACTTCCTCCCAATGTTATAGCAATCTGGCAATGGTAGTGGTCCACAGTTAACATTTCTTTGGTGAAATTACATTTCTTGCAGTTTATGTGATTAACAGAAATAGGTGAAGGAGAGAGACCAATGACCTAAGTATGCAAACACCACTTTTTTGTTGTTAATCTTTTCTGCTAAAAGCAAACACCTTCAAACTTCATATTCAACAATTTATCTTTCCGTGTCCTCTATATGCAAGGATTATTATTATTATGTAATCTAGAGTTTACTATCACTGGATTATTTTTTCAATAAATTGCTCTTTTGTCATCAGTTATTCCTGGTGTGTTGATCTTTCCTGAATTGCAATGAAGGTAGGGGGGTATATGTTCAGCTTTGGTATGTGTTTCCCCCCACCCCCCTCTACCCCACCATTAACTGATTGACCGTGCCCCCTAACCACTGGAACTCCATCCCTCTTCTCAATTTTAAATTTAAATTAAAGATGTGATTCCAGCAGCAAATCTTAAATAACAAACACTGTTGAAATCAAATTTGTGGCATTTTATTTCTTTGTAATCATAACAATATGTTCCTCAAAAAAAAAATGGGTATGCAAAGTACCAGAAAATTGTTAGTTAGTTAGTTAGTTAGTTAGTTAGTTAGTTAGTTAGTTAGTTAGTTAGTTAGTTAGTTAGTTAGTTAGTTAGTTAGTTAGTTAGTTAGTTAGTTAGTTAGTTGCATCGCAATCTACTCTGCAAACACTGGAAAAGGGAGTTTCTCCCGGTGTCCTGGCCCGAAATAAAATTGGTAATTTGTTTCACAGCTGCTTGTGGGATATTGCTGTGTTAAATTTGTAGACAACGTTTGCCTACAAATAGTCACTCTGCTTTACAGTAAATCCTGTGAAGCGCTTTGAGATGTCTGGCAGACTTAAAACGTGCCACATACCAAATACAAGGATTATTATTTAATAACGAAAAGATGTTTTACTCGAAAAATTGCCAACACCGCCATCTAGGGTTTGAACTCTGAATATCAACACTGCGTTTGCGCAGTGTGTTGATATTCCAGGTATCGTACAGAAAGCCAGGACCTCAGTTAGCACAGGCCTGCTCTGCAAACCCCAATCCTTCACTTTTTAAATGGGATCCTTAACACCCACCAGAAAAGTTACACAGGAACTCATTTTCGCTATTAAAAAGTCGTCAGGGGTTCCGCAGCAGTCCTGTGTTAGCTGAGGTGCTGTCTGCTTGTTCAGGTGGACATTAAAGATCCCATGATTCTCTCAGTGTCCCAGCCAACAATGTCTCAAATAAAAATAATGATTAACTCCATGGCTGTTTGTGGACATTGCTGTCTGCAAATTGGCTGCTGCGTTTGCTTCCAAAATACACAGGCGCTACACTTTACACTAAATCCTGTGAAGCACTTTGAGATGTTTTGACAGTGTGACTAGTTTTTTGTTAGATCTATTGCTCAGCTTGAACTCGTGACAGTTTTTATGGTATTAGACTTTAAGACCATTGTCATACATTTTCAATACCTGTATCATGATAATTTTAAAATAATCTTAAATACATCCTAATTGAGACGTCTCAACGACGTGATAAGGTACTATATCAAATGCAAGGATTATTATTCATTGAATAATAATTATTATTAATTTTGAAGCTGTCTTTCTGCGGTTGTTTTTAAGCACTACGGAGAAATGCTTCCAAATTAAAACTGATTAAAATTAAAAATGAACTTGTAAGAATTTTCCAAAATTCTGCACAATTTTAACTTTTAAGTTCTTAAGGCTAAGACTATGAGAAATTCCAGGCCTCCAATACTCCAGATGGACATTTGAGTTACGAGTAACAAATGAGGCAGTTGTTCAGACTGGATTTGCCCTGTTCCAGAAACATTAATTGAAAGTACATTGCCAGTTGCTCCCTTCACCCTTCTCTATCTCTTGGCTGACCTAGCTACTGCATTAGTAAGATCTTTCCTCTTAACAGTGACAAAACCTTGGAGCTTAACCTACAATTGGTTGTTAGGGAGGGTGGTGTGCAACCAGCTGTGCAATGTCAATCACTACTACTTGCAACGTATTTAACAGTACTGTTAGTAACTGTGGCCTCAGCAGGGAATCACTGATGCACATTGAGCTGGCGGTGTAATACACTGCAGAAGCGTCACAGCAGCAGCTTCATTACAGCCCAGCAGCCCACACAGTGTGTCGAAACAGCTGGCAGCGTGAAGATAAGGGCATAAGAAACCACAGAAATCCCATCAAAATACCTCTTCCATTGACCGACCTTGTTGTAAACTTCATCCTGTCCCTTCAATTTCCCTTGGAGGACTTTCTGTCGAGACACTTCCTGATCCCCAAAATCAACCAAACAAAATCCCAGAAATATTCATCATATTCAGCCACATCTTTACTAATAATCCCCGACCCTCCATGACGTTGTTGAGACGTCTCAAAGTGGTTCAGAGGATATACCGTAAAGTGGATTGACTGTATTTTGTGGGAAAAATGCGGCAGACAGTTGCACACAGCAGTGTCCCACAGGGGGGAATATTGGCCAGGACGCCGGGGAGAAACTCCCTTCTCTTTTTGAATAGTGCCATGGGATTTTTTACATCCACCTGAACAGACAGATGAGACGTCAGTTTAAAGTCTCCTCTGAAGAACGGCACCTTCAACAATGCAGCACTGCAATTGAGTGTCAGCTTAGATGATGTGACTCCAAGTCGCGATGTGGAGTTTGAACCCTCTACCTTCTGACTCAGTGACAAGAATGCTGCCGCTGAGCCAGGCTGACACACCGTATCCTTATTTGATGTCTTTATCTGATGTGCATCTTCCAGTAGGGGTCTCTGTATTGCAATCTGAGCCCTGAAATTTCTCCTATTTTTAAACTATTTTATCTTGAAGTTTAAGATGCCGCAGAATTGTAGAAAATTCTTAAACACTCTTTTATTTGCAAGGCGGGCATTTTAAAAACTGCGGAAATTAAGATTGAATTGAAGAATTTTCCACTTTCCTGGGCAATTTTAAATCTGAAGCCAAATAGTCTTACAGGCTAAGACTGGGCGGAATTTTGGGACTCAGGACCAGGAACCCTGGCTCCCGCTTTGCTCTGTAACATCTCTAACTTATTAACGGTGCCCTGGCTGACAGCAGCTAACTCAGCACTGAGATCCTGGTGTGTAATAATGGCTTTGTATTGCACTGGTCTTTAGGTATTTCCTCTCTAAAAAGCACGCAACTTAATCCATGTAAAACATTTGATTAATATTATCATTGTTAATATTTTCATTAATTCCTGAATCATTCAGTTGCAAAATGATTCAATTATCTCCGTCCTATTATAATGTCCCCATGATCGAGAATAGGATTTTTTTCCTCTGCTTCTATAGAATATCAAGTAGAGTGGAGTCCTGTAGCTCAGTGGTTAGAGCACTTGCCTCACAAGCGAGAGACCTAGGTTCGATTCCCAGCAGGGCGTAAACCTTGGACACGTTTCCTTACTCCACACACCTGACAATAATCTCCAAAGAAAAAACAATAATAAATTGGTCACTTCAATCCATGACTGTTTGTGGGACACTGCTGAACGCAATTGGTTGCCCACAGAACAACCAAAGTCATAAAGATTTCTAGCATCTGCAGTATTTTGCCGAGAGTAATAAAGATGAGGTCAACCAACCTAAAGTATAGTGACTGTCCAGGCAGCCCACTGATTTGAACTTACAATAAGTTGGTTGTAAAAGAAGGAACTTGTTATAGCACCTTAATATATTAACCAGTTGTGGTACGATATTCTATATTCAAACAAGTTGTGAGATAATATTCATCTTACACGTGTTTTATATTGCTGGAGCTCTGACATCTCTGGTCATAGCTGTTTGTGATATGTTCACACTTAGACTTCCCACTAGGTGGCAGGTTTCACCTACCTTGGGTAGATGAAGAAAGAATGTAATTTTTAACATCCTTTTTTTTCCTGCAGTAGGCACATTTGAAATTCACATTTGGGGTCTAATTTGGGAGTTTCGGAAAAAAGGCAACTCTGCACAAATCGTCAGCTTGCCAGGGTTCACACCTGCCAGTTGCATTGGCTATGATCTGGGTCCAAGGAAAGTTGGAACTGAGACATTGAATCCTGTAGTATTCTGGTTAGAGAACTCGCCTGGCAAATGAGAGAACACGATTTCGATTCCCGGGCAGGCCAAAACCTTAGGCAAGTTTCCTTATGCTTCTGCTTACCTAGCAGTAAGTAGGATCCCGTTTATTGGTCAATTGGCGGATCACTTTCCGGAGGTAGTAATCTCTTCCTAAAAATAATAATAATAATTTGGTCATTCAATCCACGACTGTTTGTCGGACATGGCTGTACGCAATTGGCTGCTATGTTTCGCCCACAAAATGTGCAGTCAATTCACTTTACAATATATTCTGTGATGCGATTTGAGACGTCTCAACAATGTGATACGGCGCTATATCAAATGTCAGGGTTATTATATTATTTTATTGTTGGAATCCGAATGGAGTTCCAGGGGTTTGGCACGAGGTAATCAGGTGTCTTTTTCTTTCTACAAATTTTGCAAATTAATAAATATCCTTGCATTTAAAATAGCGCCTTATCATGTCTTCGAGGCATCTCAAAGTGCTTCACAGAATATATTGTAAAATGAATTGACTTTATAATTTGTGGGTGAAACACGGCAGCCAATTGCACACAGCAGTGTCCCACAAACAGTCTTGGATTGAGTGACCAAATTATTATTATTCTTTAAACAGATTATTACTCCCGGAAAAGCGATCCTCCAATCGACTAACAATCGGGTTCCTACTTACTGCTAGATAAACAGAGGAAGGAAACCTGTCCAACATTTCATCCCATTGGAATTGGACCCAAATGCACAATTGTAAAAGATAACACCACTGGCGACATTCTACATAACAACAGAGCCGAGATGTAAATTGATCTCTGCATTTTATGACCTTCTCACTTGTGCCACTGACAACCAAAGCACGAAAGGCAGAAACGTTAAGGGAGTCAGATATTGCCAAGCTCTCACCAAATGAGGCCTGGAAAACAATTTGTCTGCCAGCCAAAACATTCATCTGCAACAGGGCAAGAAATACAAGGCAAAATTATACACAGGAGTTATTGCACACAGATCAAATTGAATAGAACAAAGAACTAAAGGCGTTGTAATGAGTATAGTGAATGTGATACATTTCATTTCTGTTTCACAATTCAAACCTGTTGGACTAAAGGTATTGTGTTTAAGACTAAGCAGCTGGCTGTGATTTTGTGACTCAACTCAACTGAATCT